AAAGTTTTTCGATCATTATATATCAGAGATAAAAATATTGCAATATTCCGTGGGTCTACGGCCTGGCTACCAGGCTATGATTCCGGCATTCCCCCTTCCTTTGACGAAGCCGAAACAGGAATACCCGACTTGTTAGCCCGCCTAGAGCTTGCAAAGCTTCAGGATGAAGTTTATCAGGCCTTCCATGCCGCTGGTGCACCCAGCTTGCATCCTTCGAGACATAACCAGGTCCTAGCACAGCTACAACAGAGATTGGAACAGTGGTCTTCAACTCATAGCATCATGCAGAGGACTTTGACATCCGCTGAAACGTTCTCTCTCATGTTATCTTTCTTCGCAACAAGGATCTGCTTAAGCAAAGACAATGATGACATGAGATCCACTCATCCTTTCAAGGATGCCAAAGCATGCTGTCTTGTCTTCTTACTAGCCACAACTACAAAGCCAGATTTGCACCTTTCTGAGACTTTGAAAGAGATATTGGGACAACACAAATCTCTCGACCAACCTAGCTCAAGAAAGACGAAAAGAAATTCTCGAACACAACCCGCTGTATCCGAAAATGATGATTATGCGACATCAGCCCTTCCTCGGTTGGCTGCAACATTCCCACTAGCGGCTGCGTTCATGGTTGCTAAAGGCATCTTGTTGGAGCCAATAGGAGAGGTGGATGGCACCCCCAGTCGGCCAGAAGAGGAAATATCACTTTTGGAAGCTCTTCGGGATCGATTTGCGACGGCTGCCGAACAAGCCCATATTGATAACCTCGCATTAAGTTTCAGTAGAATCCTGGGTCTATTGGTTCGAGTTGTACGCCAAAAACGATCGCCTGAAGCAAACAACACCCCTTCTTTAGCCTTCAACGAGCTGCCGACTCTTCATTCAACAAGATCATCCAGCTCTTTACAGGAGAGTGTGGTTAGTTCTTTTAGAGATACACCACCAGGTCCCGAGAACTTTTCAACAGTTAGTTCTATCAGTGAAGCCGTCTCAAATTCTTCTCTTCTCTTACCATTTACTCAGCCATTGGAGGACTCGGCCAGCGGCTCATCGTGGTTTGGCGACGTGGGTCAAGGCATTGGGCTTAACAACACCCCAGTTCTAATGGCCTGGCCTGGTCAACATAAGCGACAGTCTGAGGAAGCAGATCACCTCACCAAGAGACCAAGAATGTCCTGCCAAGAGGAATACCTGGATATTCCTACAGTGTATCCTGATCATGGTTCACGAACTGAAGATGACTCTTTGTTCACGTTCGACTTTCTAAACACAGGAGCGGATATTTCTGTTTTCGATATGGAAGACTAGTTATTTACTCAATTTGTTTCTGCTTACGGGATTATTGGTGCTTCTGCTGTTGTAGGGCAATACATCGGACTTGACTCTCCTTGCCCGTGTTCTCGAACTGGATCTTGGTGGAATATATGCGGAACAAACGTACAATACACTACTAGGACTGATATTCGGTGCTGATTCGATAGCGACAATTAATCGGTGATATATCTCTATATCAAATTTCTTCCAATTTACTTCAATAGGATCACATGCTCAATTGAGTATGGAAGGCTATCTGAGAGTTATAGCCATGGGAAAGTTAGGCTTTCCTCACGATGCATATTCTGATACGAATACCCTGTATCTGGCATTCCCCGCAAACGACAACCACACCCTTTGCATATCCGTGCTGCTATGCTCTGCTTCCATTACACTAGATCCTATCACAAGCTAACATCGACACATGATATCATTCTTATCAAAGCACCGTTTCGCCTTGGCAGTAGCACTTTGACTGGTCTGCGCACCATCAAAGTCCCTCAAGCTTGTTTTCTTTAATCTACCTCTGCTTAAATGTGCCGCTGATATCATGGCCTGACCGCGGGCTACGAGAATGGTCTTGGATATCATCAATCCCGCAGCAGCTGTGCGACTCTTGTTCAGCATTAGATACCTTGAGTGCTTTATGCCAAGACTGCCTGCATTTGAACTTGCCTGTCAGTTTCCTTATTGTGAAGGCTGCAGGTGTGAAGTGTTTGCATAAAGAATACGACTGGCCGACATACGAAATGATATACGAGATATTGTCGTCTGAGTAGGTTGCTCCAAACCGGGCTTAAAGCACTGAGTTAATGCCAAGATTATTGCTAAGGTAAGACGCGTGTCCGAACTTGAGAATGTGGAGGGTTGATCGTACTGACCAGCCATCCGGCTTAGTACCAAGATTTCATTCGCGAGTACTCGACTCTATACTCATAATCAGCCAATGACTGTTGGTTGGTCGAAGAACTTCATATCAAGGAATAATGTTGCTCATCACGAGTAAATGACTATAACCTACAAGCCGGTACCTGAGGCTCTTCGGAAAGGTACATGCCTTTGGTGGTACCAGACACTCTTGCAAAGTAGGGCTCTGCCGTTGTGTGCAACAATGACTCTCTGAAAATAGCCTGGATGTGATGAAATCAAGGATTTCGAGGCCTTCACTCGCCTTATTTGTTTGGAAAAGAGTATTACAGCAGGCGGTAGGAATAAGACCTGAAGTGATGTGACACACACTGCATGCATGAGCATTGCTGTTTGAGTACTATCCAATTTTATTGGACCTGGTCCATCTATCTGGCAGATAAGTACTTTCTATCTTTTAGTCAACAACGCAGTCGCTCGCCTGCAAAAATCTTGAAGCTCCCTAGCTAGCCGCAGCAGGCTCAGCAGCCTTCTTTCGCTGCAACAAACAGTGCCTACCCCATTTTCTCTTGAACTTGTCAGGGATGAAGGACGCATCAGGAACCCAAAGGGTCCTTGCGAGCATATGTGTCTTGGCAGCGTCAAGGAAGGGCTCGCACTTGACAATTTCCCAGTTCTTCTCGTCTGCAATGTAGTCGGGCTCGTTTGGCGGCAGAGGGCCATTTCTCTCTGGGTATTGAGTGTCGACCAAGAATGAGCACGCGGGGAGCTCAGTGTACTTGCCCAGATCCTCCTCGTTATGGTCATTCATACCCGCCGTAGGAAGCCAAGTGCCGCTCCAAAAGCCGAAACCAGTCTCAGCTTCAGCAAAGTCACCAGGCAGAAGACCTCTGAACTCGGAGCGGACAAACTTGGCATGCATGTCCCGGGGCAGAAAGTAAGATGAGGGGAAACGATACCACTCTTTCCCGAAGCAGACAGTATCCTCCTCGCGGCCAATGGGCTCCTTGCTGTCTGCGCCCTCCCAAAGAGGAGAATAAATCTTCATAGGCCCAGAGTACGCGGACCAGATACCGTAGACCCGGAAAAGAGCGACGTCGATAGACAGGATCATGGTAATGGTAACAACCAGGAGCTTCAGCTTTGCAGGGATCTTTCCAACAAGGGTCCTAGGATCAGAGTTGCCTAAAGCAGTCAAAATCATATGAAGAGAAATGGCTGCGTTGAGCGCAAGGAAAGGATAGGCCGGGTACATAAACCTTTCCTCCTTGTGAGGCTGTGCGCTGAAGATAGCCAGCCACATGTAGAAAGGGGAGAGAAACACAACGGTTCTCAACCCGGTCTGAAATCCTTGGCCAGATGGTGAAATGATCTTTTGGAGTATGAAGAGAGGCAGAGCAGCAAGAGCCAGAACAAACCAAAGGTTGAAGTTCAACGCCAGATTCTTGAAGTAGAATGTCCAAGGTTCTGTTCCATATAGCTCTGGGCCACGGTTTGATGAGAAGATGTTATATTTGACAATGTTCCATGTCACAGAAACTGGCTTCTTGTAGAAGAAGAGGTTCACAAAGTAGTCACCGGCCTAGATTTGTTAGATCGATTATGAAGGAGAGAAACATGAGGCTTACAAGAAGCAAGATTGCAGAAATTACACCACGGCCAATGCGAACAAATGCTTCCCACAACGCCGTCTTATCACCAAAGACAAGCAGGATGAGTTCTTCGAGCATAAAGGGCGCGCAAAGCGCAGCGGCAAAGGGCCATCCCAGAATGCCAGCAGCAGCAAACCAGAACATGCCCTGAGAAGTCTTAAGACCACCTCGCCAGTTCATAAAAGCTGCAGCTCCCACAGTGACCAGGTACATTGCAAAGCTCGATGGAAGGTAAGCAGTGCTCGCATGGAAGTTTCCGGGGCTGGCAACAGTTGCGATGAGGAAGAAAAGGCCGATTCGGCTGTTGAGCGTAGTGCTAGTGACCATGAAGAGGATCGTCTGAGTGATGGCGCACACAAAAGCTAGCCCAAACCGCACAAAGTAGAATTCAGCAACCTGGAGATTCGGCGTCAATGGATCTCTTCTGTCTATTTCATCGTATAAAACTCACCTTGTTCGAGTGAGGAAATATTCGGCGCACATTGCCGACAATGGCGTGGAAGGCGATGTAGAGCCAGCTGCGGATAGCATAGTCTGGAGAATATTCCCACGTTTGAAGACCATAGCCATGGGACAAGTAATGAGTCGGTTCCCAGTAATTGAACGTCTCATCGCAATCTTGAATCGGGGCGAACCAGGCAGATACGAGAGCGGCACCGAAGAACCAGTAAAACGCGGAAATCGGTTGCATAGAATATGCGCTCGGAGCTCTAGGTTGAGAAAGGGCATGGTCAGTAGAGCTCTTGAAGTGGGATGAAATAGGTAGTCTACATACTTTTTCTTGGCATGACTAGCAGTTGGATGCACAAACTGCCGCTGTTGCGACTGTTGAGCTGTACCTGGAGCCATCGTTGCTGTCGATTTCGATGTCGACGTGAGTTGATGGAGGTTTACAAGGAAAGGAATGTTGCCGTCATGTCATAGTGAGTGGGTAGAGAAGATGTGGGTGGGTATGGAATTTGGAGCTTCCTTCAACAGTTGGGGAAGGGACCCTGCTATAGCACTAACCACTGATACTAACACTAGCATTTACAGCAGGAGGCTGCCTTACCGAGGCGCGTGGCTCACCGACGGTGAAGCATGTGTTGTGGGGTGCTAGCGCCGGGAGACGGGGTCCACTTTATTGTTCACCTTGATTTTTTCTTGTTAGCGCTAGCAAGGAAAGGTCTTTTAACCATGAGGATGAGGCGCTTTGAAACTTTCTGCCTTTTCTTCATCTCAACTTTTTGCGCCTGTCGCATTCAAATTTGTCTTTTGGGTTTTATCACTTTGTCTGTCTCCAATAGTCAAGAGTAATTTTTATTGATCATTTTATTCAAGACAGTATATAATAAAGCGCCCGCAACACAATATGTCCGGTTTTCAGATTCCCGGCCTCGGACAGGCCAAACCCAACGAGACTCTTCCGCCCATGCCCGCCGATGTTCTTGCTGCTGCCGCAAGCGTTCAAGATACCGAGATTACAGATGCTGCTCCCAATGACACCAAAGACCAGCCCTCAGCACCTCCTGCCACAGAGGCCAAGCCCTCTGAGGCTGAGCCAACACCAGTCGCAGATTCAGATGCTATGGCAGTCGACCAACCCGAAAGCCCTCCCTCTCTCACAGGTGCCCTCGAGGCCGCTATAGGTGGTCTAAACCCAACTCCTGCTGCGCAACCAGCTCCTACAGAGAACACCGAGACCGTGCCGCTTCAGAACGATCAGGGCGACAACCCCGAATGGGAAGTCGACTCTTCTCCATACGAATCATCCTCGGAATCAAGCAGCTCTGATTCTTCCGACGGAGACTCCGATGACAACGAAGGTTACGAACTTTTGGGCGTGGAAGAGACTGCGCGCCTGCTCATGCAGGCTGAAGGAGGATCCGATGATGAGGGCGATCGAGGAGCTACTGGTTCAAGATCCACCCAGGTCCGAACAAAGAATGAGATTCCTGAAGAAGTAATTCCCAAGCCTGATGTTACAGTTACACCTGAGATGAAGATTGAAGAATTGGGAGCTATCGAGCACATTGTGGAGAACATCATGCTGATCAAAGCATTCACACCTGGCGAGTACCAGGTTCTTGATTCCGGATCCGTGCTCTGCACAGCTGAGCGAGTCGTCATCGGTGCGATTGCGGAGACGATCGGAAAGGTTCTGCAGCCCATGTATACCGTGCGCTTCACATCAGACCAGGATATCAAAGATTTAGGACTCGAGGTTGGCCAAACAGTGTTCTACCCTGCCGACCACGCCTCATATGTCTTTACCGAGCCATTGAAGAACATGAAGGGCTCAGACGCCAGTAACCTTCACGATGAGGAAGTCGGCGATGACGAGATGGAGTTCTCAGACGATGAAAAGGAGGCCGAGTATAAGCGAGCGATCAAGCAAAAGAAGAAGGATAAGTGGAAGAAGGACCCCGCCAGGGGAGGCAAGGAGCCTCATCCTCTGCGACAAGAGTCACGACCGGACGGAGGTCTTAACTACGACGACGACGATGACGGCCCCTACAAGCCTCTAGCACGACCACCAGGTTATGGTTCCGGCCCCTCTACAACCGAGACATACGAGCCTCCATCAAGCAGAAACTTTCAACGAGGAGGACGCCGTGGCGATTCTAGAGGGCGTGGAGGTCGTGGACGAGGTTCTGGACGAGGTGGAAGAGGTGGTTTCAACCAGCCTAGAGACGGTTACTCACAGCCTCCTCAGGGAGCTCCCCAGCATGCCCAACAAGCTGCTCCTCCCGCTCCATGGGCCGGCGCTCAACCTCCTGCTCAAGGCGCACCACCAGCAATGCCCAACTTTGGCTTCCAACTCCCCGGCTGGCCTCAACCACCTGCACAAGGCAACGCTGCGGCTGTTCCACCACCTCCTCCTGGATGGCCAGCTGCACCGGGCCAGCAGGGTGCGAACGGCGGATCTTTCGTCAACCCGGCTTTCTTCGCTGCGTTGATGTCAAGTATGCAAGCGCAGCAGAACGGCCAGTCACCCTGGGGCCAACAGCAGCAGCCTCCTAATAATGGAAATGGTCAGGGCCAGTAAACAATCTGTAAACAATAGGTGTTCGTAGGTCATCAGTGGCGCTCAGGGTTTTTTTTATAGGGGTATAGACAAAGGGTAAATCAACTCATATGTAAGAAATTCATGATATAATTACAATCTTCTGGACTTAACGGTGAGCACTCTGCCGGTGCACGTTTCAGAGGCTTTCAAACAGATGGTCTTATTCAATGCTAACTATGCGTGTATCCTCGTATGCAATCCGTTGCTCATAATAAACGAATGGAGGCAACCAATCCAGTAAGGAGACAGCCGCTCTCTAAACATAATTCCACATTATCAGTCATTTACAGGTCACTCCACTTCTCCTCGGTCTTATCAGAGAAGTCGTAGAAACCAAGCTCGTAAACAAGACCAAGGGTCATGCGAGCATGCTCGAGCATGTGGTCGAAAGACAGATACTTAATGCTATCATCGGTACCGTGAATATGGGGGTCAGAGTACTCGAAGGCGGACTCAATAACAAAGGCTGAGGGGTAGCCGGCCTTGGAAGCGGAAGCGTGGTCGGAGCAGGCATAGCCGCACTTAGTCTCAACCCAAGGAATGCTGCAGTACTGGAAACAAGAGTTAGCATAAGAACATGCGAAGAAATCTAGACAAACGTACCTCCTCGACCACGGTCTTGATGAACTTAGTCAGGCCGGGGTCGACGAAGTCAGTAATGACACCAACGCTCTCGGGCTGGCCGGCATCGAGAGTCTTCTGGACATAGCCAGTCATATCTTGCTGAAGCATAGCCTTGACATCGCGGCCATTCTCTTCGTACGACTTGAAGATAGCCTGGCTTCCGAGCAGACCACCTTCCTCAGCTGAGTACCAGTGGAATTCGATGGTGTTGGGAGCCTTGCCCTTAACAACGTCCTTGGAGTTGAGAAGAGCGCGGAACACCTCCATGATGGTGACTGTACCACTGCCATCGTCATCGGCGCCTGGGGCGGCGAGGATGGAAGGAAGGAAGAGGTTGATGGAATCCTGGTGGGCGCCGATCACAACAGTGCTGTTAGACTGGCCAGGGATGGTCGCAATGACGGAGTGTTGCTTCCATGTGTGAGGGAAGCTCTCGGCGAAAACAGTATCCTCAGCACCGGCGTCCTTGATGATCTGGTTGACCTTCTCAAGAACCCAGTCGGAGGACTGAAGGCCGTAGTCGGACTTGAAGTATCGGGTGTGAAAGCTGGTCAACTTCTCGAGATTGGCCTGCATGTTCTTCTTCTCGAGGTTCTTGGAGAGCTCCTTGACATCGTCCTGGTTCACGCACTTCTTAGGGAACGTGACCGTGCTCTCAGCGTTGATGCCCTTGGAGCCGAGCGAAGGTGTGTCGGTGATGTCCATGAAGTTTTGGCCATTCTACAGAGTGTTAGTGAGCCATTCGGAGCTGGGAGTATAATATGAGACTTACACGGCGCATCTCCCACTTCTCCTCCTCAGTCACCCATTGCGTCTTGCCGGGGGCGGTCTCGATCAGGAACAGCTCGTCTGGCTGGAGAATGACGTTGTCGGCCTCGGCAGTTTCGATGAAGCGAGCGGAGACAGCAGGCAGACAAGCCGCCAGAAGAGAAGTCTGCGAGAACTTCATTGTATCTGTAGATGCGATAATTGAAACGATGAATGACAAGAAGATGATGTTTGGAAGAGGTTATGAAGAAGACGCGCGGAACTGCCTGGAGAGATAAGATCGGAGGCAGGTACCATGACGATCACGTAAGGTAGATACTTGCCGTTTTAGGCGATAGCGGTCATGGGTTGGTCGTGTGATTGCCCCGGAAGCTGCGGTGTGGAGACCCGGTTGCCATGAGGGAGGGGCTACCCCAACGGTACCTGCTTGTCAGACGAGATGCAACCAAGCCGAGATATGAGTCCGATACTTATCTCTCATATATATCGATATCTTCGTTGTTGCAAACTTAGCACTTCTTTGGACTGGTTTTCAAAGCTGTCTATTCTCTTCCTTGTGTTATTTCCACTTATAAGATACAGGTACCCTTGGTTGCCCAGGAACCTCACCGTTGGCTTTAACGGCCGTCATACATCATAAGAGCTTCTAGGGTAGCTTCGGCCATGATGATGAACTTAAAACCAAGACATGTTCTCCGGCAATTCTCTAACCTTCGGTAGTTGGGTTCATCGACCCTACAGTTATAAGAGATCATCCAATACCGTGATCTGTCTAAGAAACAAAACATATAATCGAGTCGAGAGCCTCATTGGGTCACCTGGACGACTTGGCCATCATGTTGATGAGTCTTAGACAATAATTGCAACCTTGAAGCCCGTTGAGGGGCACAAAAACGACCTCACATTCCATGAGTTTAATAAGGCAGAGTCAAATAAGGCATTCAAGTGACATTTCGCATGCAACGTTCAAAGTGTTTGCTTTCTCTCATTCGCTACTGGCTGCGGAAATAGTTGATTCGATCTCCAGCGGCATTCAACCACCCGTCCAGCTACTCATATAACATAAACATTACAGTATTGTGAGTGATTCCAGTGAAGAGTACAAAACGTAGCCTTGTAACGGGCTTAGATTGCAGGTGTTTGGATCTTCTTTGTCAGTCTGTCAGGGTATGAAAGAGAGCGTCAGGTTCAATTGTCTTTGTTCAGCAAATATTTGTTCATCAGTGAACATGAAATATTTTCGAACAACTGTGGTATCTTTAGGCCACGCATCTGCATTGTCTTTGATGCCCATAGTGTTGATAGAACAAATAGTCTTTGTCTATCATAACAAGACCTTCAAAGCAATAGATCATTGTTCACAACAAGAACATACTATTCCATCCAAAACCGCCATGATGAGGAAAACATATAACATACGCTGCGTCTTCTCAGTTCCAAACATGTTCAACCATTTCGTATCACAATCCGCTACAACTCTAGCAAATCAGAGCTTTGTTGAACATCCAATCCATTATCGAAACTATTCACAACTATAATCACAATGCCGAAGAAGAAATCCAACGCAAACCCCAAACCGAAGGGGAAGGGGCAAAGCCAAGGCTGCTCCAAAACCCACGGCTGCTCCTGAACAAACGGCTATGCGACTAACCCGAGCCCGCTCCCGGCTTAACAATGCTCCTCCTCTGATGGCGAGCCTTGAATCTGATAGAGATTGCCGAAGACGTACACTCACTGCAGACCCTGAGTTCTTGCCATTCAACGATGTTGTTCAGAGGCTTGGTGGCACTGCTAATATGGCTAACATGGAAAGGAGAAGGATCAAGCTCAAACTCCGTCACGATGCAGCCGCTTCGGCTGCTGGTCCTTCAAGCCAGGGTCAGCCCTCAGGCTCGAACCCAGGAGCAGCACCGTCGAGTTCATCTACCTCTGCTGCGCCTCCTGCAGCTGGACTGGCCAGCCTCACCCCGTCCCCGAGCCCAAGCCAAACCTCAAGTTCTAGTTCAAGCTCAGAACGATCATCTCCGTCCTCCCCCTCCCCCTCGTCATCTGTAGCGGGTGGCCCTTCTAGTCAGGACCAGCCTCTCAGCGCAAGCTCCAGCTCCAGCTCGGGGCTTTCATCTCCGCCATCTTCATCTCCTTCGCCCCCTATAGCCAGCCCTTCTGATCAGGATCAACACCCCGGCTCAAGCTCGAGTTCAGGGCTCTCATCACCATCTTCATCCTCTCACTCACCTTCACCTCCACCATCGCCAGCAGCTGGTCCTTCTGACCAGAACCAGCCGTCAAGCCCAAGCTCAAGTTCAGCGCTTTCACCCACGTCATCTATTGAGCTTTCACCACCCTACCCTATCAGTCCAGATCGGAACCGGGACTCAGCCCCTAGTCCAGAATCACCATCTTTTTCATCTTCTTCTTCACCGTCAACGGTAGCTCAAGCGCCTGGGTCCCCAATACCTTCAGCAGCTGGACCATCCAATCCCATTCCATCCTCGAGTCCTGGCTCAGGCTCAAATTCAGATTCAGGATTCTCTTCGCCGAATTCGCCTACCCGAACTTATCCGCCTCCAAACCGCCCAAGTCCCGATACGATAAAGATAGACGTACTTATCGCTACGGGTCAGGAACAGCCGAGTAGCGAAGAGTATGAAAGTGATGGCGACGGCTGTTCTGGTGATGCCCCAGGTGATGGATCTGGGGATGAGTCAAATGGGAACGGAGGAGGTAGCAGTGGTTATGACCCCTCAAGCGAGGAAACCTCTGATAACACGGAATTTACTGGTTCTGAAAGTTCATCAGATTCGGAGAGTGACGATGAGAACGATGATGCGTCAGGAGGGCCATGCTCTGGGCCATCTGGCTCTTTTGGCCCCTCTGATCCACTTGGTTCCTCGGGTGTTCTGATTGCTGCTGGTTCTTCTTGCGACCAAGAGTATCTAAGCGAATATGAGGCCGACGATGAGCACAATTTAGGGCAAGCCGCCCCCCGAGCTGCGCCTCTCAACATTCCGGCCGCTGACGGTTCCACCATTGCACGCGATGATACAGGCCCGTGGGCAATGGTGAGTAACCTGTTGGGGACCAGGAACCGTTCTACATGCGTCCCTGGATTCTCCTCGCCCAGGCTCGATGGCCGACCTAGACGACCAAGGCGTCCTGCAGATATAAGGGTTCCGTTCCTCGACACTAGCGGATATGATGCTCAAAACAGTCATGGGGAGGACGGCAACCCAGACACTGCTCAGTTTATAGGACCACTCGACACCTCATTCCCAGCCTCTGTTCAGTCTATCGGATGTCTGGACACTCCCGCCGCCTGCTCAGGAGGTGTCATGGGGAAGCGCAAGCGATCTTGTGACGACGACGAGGATGCTTCGGCAGTAGGAACAAAAGGGGGACGCTCTTTGTCACCGTGCATAATTATTGAAACTTCGACAACCACAATCATGACCACACACTCTTCCGTTGTAGAAACTCAGGCCTCCGAGCCTCAGCAACCTGTGGCCTTGACCTCTGGTGCCACTGTTTCCGACGATCCTAGTCCTGTGAGCAACGAGCCAGCCGCATTCGCGAAGATGGCCACTCCTCTGGATGGCCCATCCTCAGGTGAAATCAGCCCGCTGGCCTTGCCATCATTCGATCCGTAAGTCAAGATATCCATCCATTCTCAGGACACCAACTAACACTTCTAGTGAAATCCCAGATATGCACGGCTCCGGACTGAGGGCTCGTCGCCATTATGACTGGTACGAGCAGTTTCATTCTGTAGGACATGAGTGCTACGAGGTTCATCCTTGTTATCACAACCCAGGGAGAGGGTGCCACCAGTGTCATAGCGAATGGCAAAAGGATTGGGCTCGGTTCTTCAAGGCTGAGGATCTTCTGCAAGAAGCAGCTGCAGACCCTGAGAGATATCTGAGAGAGACGGGACTGGATATGCGCCAGGACTTTATGGGAGCCTTGTTGCAGGGCGCAACTTGGGAGGTGCTGGCACCTCATCTTCAGCCTCCCGCTGGCGGGAAGGTTCGAATTCACCCTGCACGACTTGCTAAGCACAGGCTGGCCCTTGCTCAGGCGGCAGTGCAGGTATGAGTTGATAGTGATGTTTGGCATTTCATGGAGTTTAAAATCATGGGCTATGTTGTGATTTGGACGTTAGACAGGAACTTTGGGAAGAATTGGTATAGAATAATAATCGACTTACAAGTCGTTCTCCTTCCAGTGCGCCATGTATGCTTCACCCCTTTTCGTGAATTCGTTATTCTTCGCTCATAGCCTAGATGGAGGGTCATAGTCCCATATCCTCATCGCTCGGCTCATCCGACTCATTACCACCACCTTGTTCCTCCTCATCTCTTCGAGTTGCTTCTGTACTTGCGCCGAGTTTCCTCACACCTTCCACTACACCGACGACGAATCCTCTGCTCTCTGCAAGCTCCATAGCTCCAACTCCTCGTAAACTCATGACACCGTCGACTCCACCCTCAAGTTGGGCGGTACTGGAACGCATCTTTGCAGCCCTGACCTCTTGTAGATCTCGAAGTAGCGAGCGTACTTCTGAAGAGGAGGCGACATCGTCCGAGGCATGTGCCAGGAGCATTTCTGCGACTTCGAACCAGTGATATGGCAAGGCACCTGAAGGCGCATCTGATGTACAAGATGGAAGAAACGGTGGCGACAATACTGTCTCGTCTTCGAGAAAGGGATTTAGTCGCCTCGCATTTCCTTGACTATCTGCTCTCGCTGGTGGAGGAGGTGGCGGTGCCCATCCTTTAGGATCGATCTTTGTTTCGTGATGAACAATATCGCGTAACGAATCGGGATGGAGCCAAGGAGGAGGAACAATATTCGCGCGCCGTTGCTTCTTTAACAGTATCGCAAGCCATAAAGGTAAGTTACTTCTGTGCGGCGGTCGGAGAGTCGGTGTCGTTCCCTGTGTAACAGGTCAGGTCAGCGAGCGTCGAGCTTGTATAAACGAACGCGACAGGGACGCGCTCACCGATAGAAGATCAATGCTTTCAAGGCGTTGGCGAGGAACGACAGTGACAAGTTCCATTTCACATAGAAATGCAACTTCTGAGGGAGTGAGCCCTGAAGGAAGTGGTAAGGCCATTTTGTGTGGTCCAATGGAAGTTTGGTATTTCGAGTTGTAGGATATAAATTGGAGGTTTCATAGAATGCCCCTCACTACTGGGGAGCTACTCGGCGTGTCCATGTCAACCCCACCACTAGAGCTCCCTTCATCACGGAACGTCCATTGATATCATATAAGTAAAACCGTTCATGATATTGGTTTTCCTTATATCCAAGACTATTGAAATCACCACAACTAATTTCATAATTGAGTCGATTCGAAATAGCTATCGAAACTCGCCCACTGCCATGATAGGTATGCTGCCAATAGTCAACAAGTTGTTTCCATCAGCCTCCTCATGGCTTACAAGTTGTCATGATATGCAATGTTGGCAATAACTGAAATGGTACTCGCACTTTTCCTCCCTAATTCCAAACCACAAACCTCAGTTTACCGTATATCAAGAGCCCCCACGATCCTTGAAGCATACTACATCTTCGAAACCAAGAGAAAGTAACTTCTAGACCTGAATAGATCAAGACAGACCAATGCACCTTCTCCAAATAAGTTCAATTACATGATTTTACGAAATGGAATGATATCACTGGGGTCACAATTACTCGGCAACGTGGAATATAAGACTCATCCGGCGTGTTCAGGGTAAATGTCCAGCTCCACCACCGATGCGGGGCCACCTCCAGAAGGGCGTAGATCTGAATATCCTCTGCCATTCACAAGGTATAAGTAAGTCTCAAGATGAGACATTATTCTATTTTATGAACTCACAAACCGAAGAGTCCAATAAAAGAATATCCCTTTGATAACAACACTGCAACAATTCACAATGGCAACTGAAAACCTCCCTCCCGTCACATCGCCATCTCTTATACTTACAAACCCCACCTCCTCTGAACGAGAGCTCATATGGAAGGGCACTCATCCCCATTGGGGAGCCGCCTTGTCCATGGAGGACTATATTGCCAGAGAGTACGATAATTTGGAGGCTCCTCTGGCTCGAGATGGCGGCGTAACAAGCTGGATTCTCACTGATGGAGATAAAAAGCACGGTGAAAGACCCCTCCTTTCATCTTGTGAGACCTACAACAAAAGAGCCTTTGTTCGAACCAAAGATGGAAAAGCAAGAGATGGTACTGCTCACGGTGTGGCCAGTGTCTTTACTTTCCCTGAATACCGAGGAAAGGGATATGCCAGAAAGATGCTGTCTTTGATTGCGGATGAGCTGAAAAGCAGACAGCAAAAGAATGAAGGGGCTGCTGATTTCTCTGTCCTTTGGTCAGATGTCGGACCCAAATTCTATAAGACTGTGGGATGGGAACCCTTTAAGAGCACATATCTCGAGTTTCCCGTTACTGAGACCGAACCAACTACCGATTCATCTCTGAAGCCTATCACTCTTGATGATATTCCAGATCTGGCAGCTCGAGATGAGCAACTTATTCGAGACAGAATCTCATCATCCTCTCGAGTCAGCGCTGTGGTCATTCCTGATATCACCACCATCAAATGGCATATTCACCGGGAGAACTTTATGTGCAAACACATCTTCTCCCGCACACCCACTGTTCATGGTGCTGTATACACTCCACCTGATGCCCCAAACTCAAGGATCTGGGCTATCTGGACTTGCAGCTTCTACGGCATGCTTGACCAACCTGAGAAGAACGTTGTCCGTGTCATGCGCCTAGTTGTCGAAGATGAAAGCATCTCAGATGAGGCACTTGCCCAAGGCATCCAAGCCATTGCAAGTTTCGTCCAGAAGGAGGCCAAGGAGTGGCAATGCTCCAAGGTTGAAGTTTGGAACCCCGAGGATCGAGTACGAAAGGTCACAGAAGGCATTCAATCCTTGGGAGCCAAGTTTATCGTCCGAGAAAACAGCAACATTGCTAGTTTAAATTGGTTCGGTGGCTCTGATCAGGAAGTTGACTGGATTGCTAACGAGAGATTTGCTTGGTGTTAAATACTGATATATCCCGCCTTGAACAGCACAAAAGCAAGTAGTAACTCTATAGAAAGCCGGATTTAGACCAACGAGATGTTGATAAATATCATCGCTACGATCTATCTTCTTTTCTAACTGTTTTGATTCCGTGACCAGCCCCATCCCATTTTCATGATATAATCACATTCACATCAAGTCATAAACAATCGCACTGGTGTATCATAAACATGCCAGGTCAACGCCTTCCCGCTCCCTGACTATAAAATTTCATTCAACTCCTTAGTAGCTTCGTCCGAACATGGTCCACTTGTCGGCGTTACCCTGGCACTCAGGGCTGAGACACTTGGTCTCACCAGGGACAATACCTTCGGGCTGCTCGAAGGGGACACACAGACTCTTCATGCCCATAGTGGCAAGCTTCTGGTTCTCGGGGACATCAGGCTGGTCCTCGCGAGTGGTGAGCTCCTTGATACGGTCCTCACACTTGGGGGCACCGCAGAAGGGAATGAGCACAACGTTCTTGTTGTCAAGAGCGGGAAGAACATCCTCCCACTTGGTGATCGTGAGCCGGTGCTCTCGGAAAGACTTCTCGGCCTTGCTGTACATGTCGGCCTGGATGGTCTCGAGAAGCTCGGGGATCTTGGTGGCAACGTCGGTGATAGCAATTTCTCCCTTCTCACCGGTGTCACGTCGGGCAGTGCTGACAACGCCCTTGGCAGCATCCTTGGGTCCGAACTCGATACGCAGAGGAACACCCTTGAGCTCCCAGTCGTTGAACTTCCAGGCAGGAGTGTAACCCTCTCGCCAATCAGAGGTGACACGAACGCCAGCCTTCTTGAGGTTGGCTCGGATGTCCTCAACCTGCTCCTCGTGCTTCTGTCGCTCCTCAGGGGTAGTCTTCTTGGTGATGCCAACAGGGACAATGACAACCTGAGTCTTTGCAACACGAGGAGGAAGAACCAGACCCTTATCGTCACCGTGAATCATGACCATGACACCGATGACACGGGTTGAGAGACCCCAAGAGTTTTGCCAGACGTGAATGTGAGAGCCCTTGTTGGCAGGGTCCTCAACAGTGATGTCGAACATCTTACTGAAGTTCTGGCCAAGGGCGTGAGAGGTAGCACCCTGGATACCACGGCCGTTGGAAGGGATGTAGCCCTCGACAGTGGTGGTGTAATAACCACCGGCAAATTTCTCATTCTCAGTCTTTCGGCCTCGAACGACGGGAACAGCCAGAAGCTTCTCATAAACACCAGCGTAAAGCTCAAGAATCTCCAGTACCTCAGCACCAGCAAGCTCCTCAGTCAAGTGAGCAGTGTGGCCCTCCTGCCAGAGGAACTCACGAGTTCGGAGGAAAGGAGTTGTTTGCTTAGCCTCCCAACGAACGACAGAGTTCCACTGGTTGAGGCGGAAGGGAAGATCTCGGTGGCTGCGAATCCACTTGGCATAGTAGGGGTACATGACGGCTTCGGAGGTAGGGCGGACCGCAACAGGAACCTCGAGGTCCTTGTCACCACTGGAAGATTGTCAGTCATTGAAGGTTCATAAAAGCAACGTGGTTTGTATGGGCATCCTTACGCCTTGGTGACCCAAGCAAGCTCAGGGGCGAATCCCTCGACGTGATCCTTCTCCTTCTCGAGCGACTTGGAAGACAGGAACATAGGGAAGTTGGTCTCGTCGACACCCATCTCCTCAATGTGAGCCTGGAACCATTTTCGGATCTCGTTCCAGATGTGCATGGCAAGAGGTCGGAGAACGAAGAAACCCGAAATCTCGGTGTAGTACTCGACCATCTCGGCCTTGAGGACGACCTCCTGGTACCATTGGGGAAAGTTCTCGGCCTTGGACACTGTAATTCCAATGATCTCGTCTGCCTTCTTTCCACCAACGACGGGAAGGTTGGTCTGCTTAGCAGCCTTGGCAGCCTTCTCAGCAGCAAGGCGAGCCTGCTTCTCGGCCTTCTTCAAGGCGCTCTTGGACTGTTCGGCGGCGCCCTCCATTTTTGGTAAGATTCGTTTGTTAGTCGAAGGGTAATTGACAGAAAAGTAATAGAGGATGATAGTAGCTACAAGGCAACCGAACAGTGGCTTGCGCGCCTTTAAAGAAAGGAGAAGCAGAGGAGCGACGTTATCTTTTGAGGGGGGGAGAAGGAGAAGAAAGGCTTCGGGGTGTGAGTCGAAGTAAACGTCGGACGTCCAGTGACTTTGTGCCCCGCAGTCGAGGGAGGTGCAGTTGGTGCGGTGCGGTTGCCCCTCCTTCCCGCCCGGGCTTGACTCTCACGGCACCGCTAGAAATCTAGCCCAAAATCCAGGCCCAATGCCCTATCAGCCAATTGAAACAGCGGTTGCTCAGCTGCAAGGAAGTCCGATAACGCGGCAGGGGTCAGTTTTGGGGTTTATGGGGTCCGTGCACCTTCTGTCAAGTGCCCTGGACTTCGGGTGGGTATCCGATTCACGCCCTGTAATCAGCACACAGCGGCAGCTGGCACCTATTTCAGTCGGCGCCGGAATAACGCCAACCTCCGACAAAAAAGTCCAGTCGAGGGGCACTGGAGCTTCACAGCTCAGGTTCTGTCTGCGTACGGTAGCCTGCTGGTAGAATTTCCTGACTCCATCCCCACGTTGACGAAGCCGCCTTTTACCGTCAACGTTACCAATAGCTGCAACTATGGCTTCCATGTTCGAGCAGCCCCGAAATGGCACCCTTTTCTTGGGTGGCCAGAAGATCTCAGGTTCTGATATTAGAGACCAGAATGGTATGTCTGTCTATATCTTGTCCCGCCTTTTGCTACATGTTAGGGGGAAGTGGGGGAGACATGAGCCTTTGGTATTGGATTTCAAATAGGGACAACATGCTAATAGACCTTCAGTCCTCGCTACACAGGCAATCGCAAATGTTGTCAAGAGTTCTTTCGGTCCCAGCGGCCTCGACAAGATGATGGTGGACGATATTGGTGTATGCAACCTAGCCCTCCTCGTTCCGCGCTCGACTATATCTCACACTTTATACTAGGATGTTACTGTTACCAACGACGGTGCCACCATTCTCAGCCTCCTCGATGTCGAGCACCCCGCCGGCAAGATTCTCGTTGACCTTGCGCAACAACAAGATAAGGAAGTCGGTGACGGTACCACCTCTGTCGTTCTGATCGCTGCCGAGTTGCTACGTCGCGGAAACGAACTCATGAAGAACCGGATACACCCTACCACTATCATTACGGGATACCGACTTGCCCTGCGAGAAGCCATTAAGTACCTTAACGAGAATGTTAGCATCAAGGTTGACGAACTCGGCCGTGAATCCCTCCTTAGCATTGCCAAGACCTCCATGTCCAGCAAGATCATTGGGGCCGACTCGGATTTCTTCGCCGACATGGTTGTAGATGCTATGCAGGCTGTCAAGTCTACAAACAACCGAAACGAGACAAAGTACCCTGTTAAGGCTGTCAACATCCTCAAGGCCCACGGAAAGAGCACACTCGAGTCTGTCCTGGTTAAGGGATACGCCCTGAACTGCACTGTCGCCTCGCAAGCCATGCCCACACGGATTCAGGATGCCAAGATTGCTGTTTTGGACATGAACCTGCAAAAGGAGCGCATGAAGCTTGGTGTTCAGATCACGGTTGACGACCCTCAACAGCTTGAGCAGATCCGAGCCCGCGAGTCTGGCATGATTCTCGAGCGAGTAGAGATGATCCTGAAGGCTGGTGCCAACGTCATTCTCACAACAAAGGGTATTGACGATCTGGTGCTTAAGACTTTTGTTGAGAAGGGTGCTATGGGTGTGCGAAGATGTAAGAAGGAGGATCTTCGACGAATTGCCCGAGCAACCGGTGCTACCATGCTCAGCACACTTTCTGACCTTAACGGTGACGAGAAGTTCGATCCCTCTTATCTAGGATACGCCGAGGAGGTTGTCCAGGAGCGCATCTCTGACGATGAGTGCATTCTGGTCAAGGGAACCAAGGCTCACTCGTCTGCTTCTTGCATTCTCCGTGGACCTAACGACTTCACCCTCGACGAGATGGAGCGATCAGTCCACGACTCACTGTGCGCTGTTAAGCGAACTCTTGAGAGTGGCAGCATCGTTCCCGGTGGCGGTGCCGTTGAGACCGCCCTCCACATCTACCTCGAGGAGTTTGCCGGTACCGTCGGCTCCCGAGAACAGCTCGCTATTGGCGAGTTTGCTCAGTCTCTTCTTGTTATTCCCAAGACCCTGGCTGTTAACGCTGCCAAGGACGCCGCAGAGCTCACTGCCCAGCTTCGATCAAGGCACGCTCTGTCACAGCGCATTGCTGAGGGTGACGGCAGCGAGGATGAGAAGACCATTGCAAAGAAGAAGGGTTATAAGAACTACGGTCTTGACCTCGCCAAGGGCAAGGTTGTTGACGAGATTAAGATGGGTGTGCTTGAGCCCAGCCTCAGCAAGGTCCGACAGCTCAAGAGTGCCGTTGAGGCCTGCATCAGCATCATGCGTATCGATACCCTGATCAAGTTGGACCCTGAGCAGAGGGAGGATGATGGACATGGACATTAAGATGAAATGTAATGAGTTCGGATTGTCAGGTATAGAATCAAAAGCTTGGGTGTCCGTTCATGACTGAATGTTTTATACTCATGATGTTGTGTGATATCAGACGTGTTATGGTGCAGGGTGCATATAAATGTACTGGTATGTAGATTCAAGTAGATAAAAGTGATTACGTTTTGTCAAGTCTGCTGGAAACTTTGTTTTTACTACGCCGCCCCTTGCTTCACTCGTTATCAACTTTGTAGTATGCCGGGTGTTATGCAAATAAAGTTACGTTAGTCATCAGCTACAATTCTCGATTTGACAGGGCTGAGGAGCCTCTTTTGACTAACGTCAGAATGCGACCTCAAAGTTGGATTGTTTTGTCCAGTTCACAGTATAGATATTCTGGTGATGGATATGAGTGATGCTCTCAAACTTCACATACTCAAATCGCTTCAAAATAAACGCAATGAAATTCAATTAGTACAACACCTCGCACACGAGATGCATCTTGCACACACTCTCCCGCTCTTATCTTCTCCTCAACCCCTCTCTTTGAGCCTGTCGACTGAGAATTTTCCTAGGACGTTTTATTTTTATACAAATGGACAGAAAGGCCACGTCTAAGAAACAGCAAACTTGCGCCCACCCAGGGGCCTCGGTATGGGCATGCGTCGAGTGTTGTGTGTTGTGGTCCGCCCGCCAGTCTAATGCGCTCCCACTCCCATCTCCCCTTTCCTTCGTTTCTCCGTTATAAAAGGTATACTCTTACATGGTCCGCTTAACCGACGACCAGCTTGCCATCCTCGGGGAAATCGTACTCAGGAATCTCGAGGTTGAGAGGGGCAGGACCCTTCCTTATTCGGCCGGAGATATCGTAGTGAGAACCGTGGCAAGGGCAGAACCAACCGCCGTAGTCACCGGCCTCGCCAATGGGGACACAACCCAAGTGGGTGCAGACACCTGAGGAGTCGTTAATATAGAGGTTCAAATGTTGTACCAGTTGTCCCAATTACGTACCCAACATGATAAGCCACTCAGGGTTCTTGACACGGGCGCTGTCCTCCTCGGGATCTCGGAGAGCAGAGATGTTGACCTTGTTTGCCTGGTCGATCTCGTCCTGGGTTCGGTGTCGGATGAAGACGGGCTTGCCTCGCCACTTGATGATAACCTGAAGAACCGTTCAGCAATGTTGCCGCATTGTGCTTGACCATATTCCGACTCACGTTCTTGCCCTCGGGGATGGAGCTCAGGTCAACCTCAACCTTGGCCATGGCCAGAACGTCGGCGGAAGCAGACATGTTGACCAGGAACTCTGTCATTCCATCGTCAGTAACCATCAATTGACCATCCCGGACATCATGCCAACAAGTTACAACACCAATTGCAACCCAATGGCAAGACACCGATCCTTGAGCCGGATTTCAACCCACCCTGAACTGTGCTCTTGGCTCCAGCAGCACTGACGGCACCGAGAGCACCGACCATGAAGTACGAGTAGAGCTTGTTCTTTGTCTCGCCGCCGGAGGAGACATATTTTCCGAAGTCGGGAATCTGAGCGCCCTTGCTCTCACCCTGGAACTTGAAAGGGCTGGAGTATCCGGAGGCGGACGCGCTGTCGGTTCGAACGGCAGTGGTGCTGAGGGCGCGCACAGCAGGGACGGCGGGCTTTGCAGCCGTGCGCAAGCAGAGACGAGAAGCGGTCGCGAGGGTCGCCATCGTGAGGGATCGTGGGGTGTGGCGGTTGCGAGGGTGAGGTCGTCGAAGGGAAGGTTTGAGGTCTTTTCCTTGGTGGTAATCGGCTGATGATGCTTTGCCGAAAGTTTTGGCTACAAAATGTGGCCTCAGGCTGCCAGATCCAGTTGAGCTCGGAAATTGAAGGCTCGCCATTGGCCCGGTCACTTTCGGGTGGGGTTTCCGGTCTATCCCGGGCATCTGGGTTCCTTTCTTGCCTCTACAGCACTCACCTTGATAATGACTACGAAGATGAATATCAGTCATTGTGACGCAAAAATACATTCAGATACGCAATAAGTTCGATTTACAATCAACTCAGTATATCGCCGCACATTATTGACAACAGTCACCACTCAATGGACTCATATTCAACATCTCTATGACTTCATGGCTCCTGACCAATCATCTTTGACCCGTTCGTCCTTAATATCTAGCAACCAACCAACATCCATGTAAAGACAAGTCCATGAGAGCCAGCACAACATAACTCATTAATCTATGAGAACCATCTCAATGCATTCTCCTCAACTCCTCAATCAAGTTGCGCATATCCTCGATACTTGGTCCAAGGCCTTCGCAAACCAGCTCTTGCTTCCCTTCGTCCATATCCAAGAATCTCTCAACCATCTCCCCGTCTATAAATCGAAAAGGTCCCTCACTCTCCCGGTTTTCGTTGCGGAAGGAACGCCATAGCTTAAATTCGACGCTCCCTGGTACATGAATGTACTCTTCCATCTTTGATTGGAACGTCATAAGCAGGTCCTGGTACTGAGGTGCAATATCGCCATAAAGATACAACGAACCCTCAGCCTATTTCCTGTTAGTTAATGTCTTACGTTTAAATGCAGTTTCTACTTACCGAAGCGAGGAAGGCTCGTGGATGGACAATGCCGTTCTCCGCCGGCGGGACATGAAGTTTTCGAATACGGTTGATCTGCTCACCAATATTCATTTCGCTCGTAATCTCCAGGCGGCTTCGGTCTTGCTCTGTCGGGGCATCCACGTTTCGTTGCAGGACAACGAGATTGCCTTTTGAATCAGCTTCCAACCACCTTTCTCCCTCAATATGACAGACCGAGGTGGCCCATAGAGGCTCGAAGTGACGTGCCCGTTCTTCTAACTTGGCCTTATTGCCATCTTGTGGGGGGATGAATTCAACCAAAGATAGTGACTGCATCAAATCAACCACACCAATCATGTTGCCGGATATATCGAGATCCACAGGCATGGCAGCTGGACGATAAGCAGCGAGCTTCTGGAGTGAGCCGGAACTGCTTGTCTCTTGCAAGAAACTATAGACCACAACAGTCTTGGACAGTCCAGCAACGATGTTGTCATCAATCATACCTAAACAGCGGCAAGGGCCCTTCAAGCTGTGAGAGACAATCTGGTGCACCTGACGGTTTGAATCAACTCCGAGGACCAGGATACGGCCGGCTGTACCATTTGGGTTTTCCACCCCATCACTGATGAAGCTTGTACCAACAATAAATCTCTCGACATGGTTGCCGCCAACATCGGGGAGCTCAGCCCGAATGACACATTCGACAATCTCGAGGCTGCTTGAAGCATTCAATGGGAAAGGTGATCCAAGCTCCTTGAAGACAATCTCATCGACGAGTCTAAATGAACTCGACACAACCTCTTCATTAGCGACTAACTCCTTCTTGATGCAGCCTAGACCAAAAGCTTTCAGTCCTGGAGAGTAAGCCACTCGTCTGACAGTCTCGTTGACAGGGAGAGCCTTCACGTGCGTAAGTCTCTCCTTATCAACATGGCAGATTCGGATATGCTGGTCTGTAGACAAAATCACGGAATCTGGGAAGGCGTGGGAATCAAAGGGTGCAACAAATGTGGCATCATCGGCGGTTGTGGCAGAGAATATGATCCGTCCCTCGGAGCTATAGATGAGACTTGCATGCTCAGTCGTCACAAAGACGTTCGATGTACCATCCTGTTGCGGGAGTATATGTAGGCGAGCTGGGTTGCTGCCTAAAGTCACGCTTTTGCGACCAGAGACACTGAAGCCCTTGGTAGATACGTTGAACGTAACCACATTACCATCTTCCATGGCGACCAAAAGTGTAGGCCCCGATATGTCAGGGGGGTGTAGTTGGACAAGTGCAATGTCTCTTGGGACTGTAGCACTATCCTCAGTTTGTCTCATGGACTCTCCATGGAGTGGCTTCAAGGAAGCCATATCAATCAACGATATTTGTCCAGAAGACCACCAGCCGACTACACCAAGATCTGGTGGATCCCGAGCAGCATGTATGCATGATATTTGATCAGCTTGTGAGCCTGAGTTCTGGCTTTGTTGAATATTGGCAGCAAGGTTCTGCAAGAGATTCAATGACACAAGAGATGTTCCATCGACTGACAGCAATGCCCACTTGCTATTTGCTGATGCTCTTGTGATTGATTTGCCGCTTGGAACGTCCCATTTACTGGTTATCGTGCCGCCTTCGGGATCGAGTAAGACGACTGAGTGAGGAGTAATCTGGAGTAACTGTCCGTTTGGAAGATTTGAAGCCAGAAGGGTCTCAGTATCGAGCGACATGCCCTGGAAAGAGTATATCTCTTCAATTCCGCCTTCAGGGTCGAAACTGAGAACTCTTGTCTCGGTGATCGCTGAGACGACCAGGGTATCTACCAGGTCAGACCCGTATGAACGAAGAGTAAACAGGCCCCTGGTTCCCTCTAGCTCGTCAAGAACACCTCTATCTTCAAGACCGACACCACTTCGAATACTTCGAAGGCTTCCATCGCGGTAGGCACCACAGCCTGCCACTATTCTTGACTGTCCAGACGAAAAGGCATTGCCAGCTTGAGCATCGCCTTCTCGGTTGCCCATATCCATGATAGAAAAATCAAGAATTGGCGCATTGTTTGAAAAGGACTGGACCAGCGTGACAGTGGTGCTTTCAACATCAATCTGATAAAGCTGCGAGTCGCCGTGGTGTGAAGCCACAAATAAGGTACCATCCCCAAGATAAACCAGATTGGACGCCCTGGATGTGATGGCTGGTGAGCGACCAATCTTGAGAGGCTCCAATGTCATGCCGGTCACAACAACACCAGTGGTTTCCAGGTTTGTGTCAATCGTCAATAGATCGAGTCGTCCATAGTCATCAGCTAACAAGTAATGTGTGCCATCGTACTCGGCCCAAGCCACAAATATCCGTGGGTCCTGAAGAGCCGAAGATACACTTCTGTGTGTCAGGCCATCAAAGTAAGTAAGGAGAGTTTCTCCAATGACTAGAAGGCCACCTAAATGTGCCTTTGCTCCTTCGGTATTGCGCACGTGGTAACGCTTCTCCTCATCCAGTGGAACAGGAATGAGCATTGAGGCGTATGGGTCAGGAATGACGACGTCGAGCTCTCTGTCTTTATGAGGGTCAAACTTGGAAACGGTATTCCCTTTGTCATCGTGGGTTAACCTATATATGACCAATCGAGCTTCTTCTTGCTCCAACTGCGTCTTGTATAAAAAGGCAATGGTCGGGTGACCGGTCCGGCTGTGGATGAAAGTGCTTGCTTTCATGAAGAGTTCTGTGAGTCTGACCTGGTCGAGTCGTTCCAGCTTGTTGGTAGAGCCCTTGCGTATGGGGAGTTTGAAAACATTCAGCACTCCTTCCCACAGGTGCATGGCTAGGAATCGTCCAGTCGGATCAACTAGACATTTGTTCTGACTCGACGAATGTCGCATGTATGGCTCTGCCAGGTCTTCGATAACGCGTTCGATGGTCTCCAGTTGCTTTGTTAACGGGTTCCACACCAGGTTGAAGTAATGCAGTCTGTCAGTCCCGATAAACAATAGATCGGTCTCTGATCCTTTGGGTCGTAAACACTGTAGCATCGCTATTGTTCCGTGGATGAGTTTCGTCTGTAGGCACACGAGGCCCTCTTCTGTGAGGCGCCATATTTCGAGTCGGTTCGCCTTCCTGTGAAGCCTCAATCAGCATTTGCTCGAGGCGTCATCGAAGGCGTTGGAGCTCTTACGCCACGACCAAGTCATCTATGTCTGGAGAGAGCACATTCGCCCGAAGGGCATGGCGTATACTTGTAGCGCGATGGATGGGTGCGACGTATGCCATATTGTCTTGTTCGTTAAGGAGGTCGCAGGTATGTAAAGGAGAAGCAAGGTAACGGTGTTTGCCTCCACTCTCGATGAGAGTTATCGAGGTTCAAAAGCTCTATGCAACACTGCTTGTCTCCAGGTCCAGGTGCGTCACTAGCCCCCGGAGTTAGTGCGGATTACAGCGGTCCAGTGGGGTTCCTTAGGTTCCTGGGTTCTGAAATGGATTTGAGATGCATGTATGCCGTTTAGTGGGGCATAAACACTTACACCCCATGTAAGAAGCAGGTAAGGGGAGACAAGAAAATATAACATGATCCTAACTGACAAAAAGACTTGGGTAAGTTTAGTATAGACCCAATAAGTCTTTGGACTAATCCTTTTTGACACACTCATTCAAGGTCTGAGGTTTTCTTGCTCCCTTGGGCCCGGGATGAGATGTCAGCCTACAATTATAAGCTTACCATCTTTATCTGGAAGAAGTAATATTTATATTACGAAAGCCACATCAAGCGACTTATCTTTGTGTTATTACCTATGTTATATCCTAAAGATCAGTCAGTGATGAAACGTGCGCTATCCATGAGGCCATTGTTGCCCTCCTCCATCGCACCTTCTGCACCCAGTCCCTACCTACCGCAACAAACATGAACAACCTTAAGGAGCCTGGAGGAAGGAGTTGGTCAAGACGAGTCCACGGAATTCTCATGGGACCCAATACTTAGACTCTAATAACCATGCACAACTGAACTTGAACTCTCTCTTTACGATATCTTACTTATCATCTAATGTGCCTTGTTCCTCAGCATGAGTTCGACTACAACCTCAACTGCCAGAAGTCGAGAGGTCGTCGACTATGCTCTTGAGAACCAATGCTTCTGCAATCATCAAGGTCCCCCATATCGATTTCGAGATATTGTCAGACAGCTTCGAGAAACCGCGGAACCAGCAAAAGCTGATGGGCTAATTGACCAGCCTGATCTCACTGCAACACCGTTACCTCGTACGAAGATCGTATTAGAGCCGTTTCTCGATGATGAGAGCTACAAAATTCCCATAGATCCAGAGGTCTCGGCTTCTTCCGTGTTCAGATTCCTTGGTCAAACAAAAAGCTTTCGACTCCCACCGGAAATAATAGATACAGGGTATGACCTGCAAAAGGAAATGTCACAATATCTGCAAGATATCCAAATTGCAAGCTCTTGCAACATCCTGACCCAATGGCTACCTTTGAGCTATGTAAGTACTGAGAAAGACGAAGGCCTTGGGTTTCCATCCACCGTCTCACGATGGCAAACATTAGCCCTGCGTGAATTGGAGGGCGATGAGCCTACATTTGCGGAACATGGCCTTGCTTCGTTCTATGCCCAGCAGACATCAAATCAGGGTTGCACGCCAGACCAAATCAGACAAATATTCTCTTTAGATAAAGTGAGTCAACTTGTGTCAGCTCAGGATTTCGTCTTATGTCGTTAGCATTGCCGTACAAACTTAAAGCCAGTGTCTCCTCCACTTTCTCCTGCCTCCGACTTAGACGAACCATTTATGTCAAACACAGAGCATATGGTGATCGATCTGACCTCGGAACCGAGCAGCCCAATCAATCCTGTAGTTGAGGAGTTGGAATGGAATGTGCAACATGGCTTTGTGGACTCTGAGCCTACTGCGCCCTCAACTATGCCCAGCTCTCCCCCGACAGCCAAGGCAGCTTTCTTATGCAACACGTCAAAGAAGCCTTTAGCTCTCAAATTTGATGTCCCAATGCTGCCATCTAGCACTGTCACGAGTCCAGTACGGAATGATCTTGCAGAAACTTTGGCACACCATCTCCTGCATTCTGACGAAGCACACCAATCTCCAGTCGAGCACGGAGGATATTTCGAAGAAGCATTACAGTCCATCTTAGATGAGAAACACCGCCAGGCAAATCAACAATTGGAACAGGAACGGCTGAACCCAGAAGACGCCTTATTACGATTGCGGATACCAGCAGTCGATTTCCAGATACCTGACCCTGAATGGAAATTGCATTTGTCAAATCCGCAAGATCACCTTGAATGGCTGCAACAATCGCTTCCCAGAACCTTTCATCTGACCTGCTACAGGGAGCTAAGTCGCCTTGAGGCGTCACTTAAATGGACACCGATCCCTCATGAAAGTGGCCGACTTCCATTGACTGAGGCAGCAATTCAATTGGGACCTATTACGAGAGAAATGCTAGCCCTAAAGCCTCACCAACTATGCAGTCGCAACTACGTGGTTTCGCGAAAGGAACTAATGGTGCTCCAAATTCTGAATGATGAAGAGATGGAACAAGAAGTCGACTCTGTTGCGGTGTCGTCCTCATCAACCTGTCGCAGGAATCAGGACAGCTCGATGGCTGCTTCTCAACCTCAGAAGTCCCATGTTGCACCGTCTTTAAAGGAATTGATAGGCTCCCGACGACACGGGTCAGGAAACAAGTCTGATTGCGAGAGGGAGAATCTGTTGTTGAAGGCCGCTGACTCAAGTGCAGCCAGCACTTTGTTGTCTGGTTTCATACAGCTTCGACAACCGAAAAGGCCGAAGAAAGGGAGCAGCTCCTCTCAAGTTTCGGCAGCCTCAAAAGCCATGCCATCCATGACTGGTGCTACAATGCTACCCGTGATTCAAGAAGAGGTCCAGAGCGAGCTGCAAGACGCTCCTGTTCCCAATTTCGACATTCCCCTGGAGACTTGTCGGTACATCGTCTCTTTGAACTTGAGTCGCAGTACTCTCTCTTATCTGGAGAAATTCTGGCCACAAGCTGGACTCATCGATCGAGACTTCTCACAGTACAACACAATTGCTTGGTTTCCTGGCTCGGCTCAAAGAAAGGAAATCGTGTCATCTTTGGCGTTTGAGGCTGATATATCTATAAGCCCTGGTGCCGGCCTCATCTTGACTACGATACTAAAAGTGAAACAGAAACCTCTTCCTGGATCAACTACTCTTACACCCTTTCGTGAAAGAGTCAGACGAGTGAGCGAGAAATACGAATCTTTATTTATATTGGTGTCGGAATCGAATCCACTTGGTGAATATGTCGGGTCACCGACTCCCTCCGATATATCTGGATATGCCGATTTCGTACGTTTCACGACAAGTCTTCAAGCAGACATATCAACATATCTAGTTTCAGGCTCCGATGAAACACTTTCAAAGTGGGCATTATCGATCATGTCTCGCTATTCCTCATCGGCTCATCAATTCGGGCATTTCCTTGACTTTCGTGATGGTGCATGGGACTTATTCCTCCGCCGTGCTGGTCTTAATATCAGCGCGGCGCAAATAATAGCAGGTCTGCTGGTATCCGAATACGACCAAGGCGGACTGGCGAGCTTTTTGAGTATGAGGGCAGAAGAAAGAGTTTCCAAATATGGCCAAATCATGGGAGGCAGGAGAATACTGAATAATGTTTCGAGAATCTTGGACCGAGAGTGGGTGTAAGTCGGCTACCACGGACCATGTACGGAGTAACTGGACCACAATGTTTCTGTACTTTATGATGGGTTACCTACATTTCAGACCTATCTTCTAACACCAATCTCGGATTTGTCGATATAAGACCAAGCAACAAGAGATGCACCCGAGTGCGCAGGTAACGGTGTGTTACAGATCACAATGAGCATCTTCAAGCAATATCACATCGCAGCACAACAGACTTATGCCCACCGAGCTCAGTGAGATCGCTTCTATTGCCCTATGTGCATACTCATGCTTACCGTCTACGCTTCTACGTCTAATCATGCATCTCAAACACTATTCAAGTTGGGTCAGGTACCCTCAAATGTTCAAAATCGTTCAACAGACCTCCCACATTGGTCGCGGTAGCGTTCGTAAAGGCAAAGCGCCCTGTGACGTCTTTAGACCAACATAGACGACTCGGCGCGTCGGATTCGCAAGATTAACGGAGCGAGATTGGATGCCGTAGTAGTCAGATATGGTATGTGTGAGCCAGCGCCTAGATTGTCAGTAACGTACGATATCTTTGATATTGATACTCACTTGAAGGCGGCGCTTTCATCGGTGCCGAACGAGTCAAATAGCATGCCCGAGTCGACTGTCTCCTGTGACACTTCACGGTGCGCATGCTTCCATGTTGCCTTCTTCTCTCTAAGCTCCCTCATGGCGCCGTTCCTACCGACGAACACGATCTCCTCATCGTCCGAGTCCATCTGCTCAGCCGCACTGTCATCATCTTCATCAGCAGCAGCGACAGCTGAAGTTTCGGCCATGGCCTGCTGACTAGCGAGATATTGTCGCACAGGCTCTTCCAGAGATCGCACCCAAGTGCGCACAACGGGACTGCGCTTGGTGGCTTCGCGCAGATCACGAGGAACCTCACCAGCTCCGAGACCGGTAGCGCTGCCTGCCTTGAGTTGCTGCTTCTTGCGTTCGGCAAGCAGACGGGCTGTCTTATCTTCAACCTGTTTGCGCACGCCGCGGTCCCAGAATTGAGCAAGCTGGTAAGGTACTCGGTGGATTGGGTGAGTAGGATGGACTTCGTAATCGGAAGGCAGAGGCGGCTGAGCGTTCGGAACGTGCATCAAGCGGTCTAACATAGTGAGGCCAACGATCAGTATGCTGCTGCGCAACAGGAAGCAGGTCCGAGTTCGGAGTGCTTCCTTATCAATGATAAAGCCATACCATTCTCCCAGCGACGTCGCTGGCGACTGCCCTCCTTGCCCTTCAAAACCAATTCGCGCTTTCGCTGGCTATCTCTCCTAGAAGGTGGTCGTCTCAGGGTCGATATCGGGGCTTCATGTTCATCAAAGTTGACATTGCGCTCGGGAGAGTTGGCTTTGGCCTTGACAGCTTCATCTAGAGGGATTGCAAGAGGAGTGCCAGTTCCACGGGCGATCGGAGAAACACTGAGAGATTGAAGAGCCGAAACAGTCCAAGCATCGATATCAATGCTCCCATTCTTGACTGGCGTAGGAGGCGACTGAACTTGCACAGCCGCCAGCGGAGGATTTGTCGCCGTTGGAGTAGGAGTATTTGTGGCCGACTGCTGTTCGGGTGGCGGGACGGAACTGTAGATAGCCATGATGATAAGACTCGCGGGGTGGTCGTTGACGATAGAGTACGATAAGGATAAGGTTAAGGATGAGAGTGATTGAAACTCTTGACGATGCCTTAAGACAAAGACTCAAGGTCTGATAGGGAGAAGAAGGAATCTTTAGGTTCTAGGTCTTGAGATGAAAGAAGGAAGGAGAAATGGCTCCGGCAATGGAGAAAGGACAGAAAGGATGGAGATGGTGGTTTAATTGATCGACGGCATTGGATTGGATGCTACAGGGCAGCTCTAGACCCCGCCTCCTGTCTCAAACCTCATACGGGAATTGATAGGAACCATGAATGACACACGGTGATTCATTCAACTTGATTAGATAGAAGCGACCAATCATAGCTCGACCGCATCCCACAGGGGGCAAGCCAGCGACTCCCAGTTCCGCATTTGCAGGCGATGCGAGTCACCCGTCGCCCGCGGAAGCGGGGGGTCATTTAGGGCCATGATAGGGCCCAGGCACCAGGCCTCTTCTACCTACCTAAGGTAGGTATTCGGTCATGAGAGACTGATGATGCTGAGAATGACCGCTACTCAAGACTTCATTGGTAGAATACAATATCTCAACGTTTGCTTGAAGTAACATGGTTTCATCCTAATCAGCTGGCTCGGTATTTGATATTACTCTTTATCTCGCGTAGGGAGTAGACAGACAAGGAATGCTATCGACAAGCACCCTCTCGATCTTGGGACGGGCTGACTTCGAGTCATCAAGGCCCCCACACATACCTTGCGGCGTAATAACTTCAATGAGTCAAACTCGGACGTCTCGGCTGAGAAGAAGAAGAAGAAAATGTACAATTCTAAAAAGTATGCAATCCTAGGTAATCACTAAACACCAATAAAATACCTCAAATAATTATGGTATATCACATGCTCGCTGGTGACCCTGAACTCGTCTTGTTGTCTAAGGTTAGAAAGTGAATTCCTCAGTGCTCGGTGGTGGCGTCGTATGTCTTGTGAGGGTTGCCAATACCGCCGGGTTTTAACAACGGTTGGCTCTCCCGCTGGATAGCACGCTCTTCTCTCTCTTGGATATCGTGCAGGTCCTCCTCCGTTTCCGCGTATCTCTCTGGGTGACCGGTGAAGGGTCCTGGAAGACCGCGCTCCCAGCCCTCAGAGTAGGTCCTGCTGCCTGGCGGGGGCCTTCGGGGTGTGCTTGAGTATTGCACAGGTGAGTGTGGTGCGCTGTCGATGTGGCCGTTGCCATGGCCGCCATGCTGCCGCGCCATGTATTCGTAATAAACACCCATGAAGAGGACTGATCCCTGCATAGATGCAGTGATCAAGTAAATGAACCATGTGCTCCATCCTTCCCAGCCCAGACGGGCAAAAAGGCTTCCTGCGAATAGGAAACCACCAGGCGTCTGGATGCACATCATGGGGATGCTCAGACTGCCTACATGTTTTAAGTGGTAGGTCATCCAGATCTGAGGCACGTACTGGATAGCAGCCAGAACTGTGGCCATGATTCCCAGGAAGTTGGCCCAGAAAACGAGATGATCGGGCATAGCAATGAAAAAGACACCCGTCAAAATAACCACAATGAGGCCGTGAAGGACACAGAGTAGTCCGACCATGACAGCGGTCTGCCATCTAGGTGCGTCTCCGCGGAGGTCCTCTGGAGGAACATTGGCTTCTCTATATCGAAAGAAGATGAGGAAAAGGACAAGACTGTTCAAATGTTAGTGGAGGAAGCAAATCGAGTTGGGTGTGGAGGCTAACATGAGGCTGAAGCAAACCCATTGAGCGCCTAGCTGAGCAACGCCGAGCAGACCGGCGGCGCACTCAAATCTACCGAGCTCTTTGCAGCATCCTATGGCAGCACGAGACGGTGGGACAGTAAGGATATTGGCGAAACCGGCAGTAGCGGAAGTGGTTCCAAGCAATACAAAGTAAGGTGAGATGCCTTCGGAGGTGCCTCGGGAGATAATGCGATAATGCTGAGGGAGGTAGGACACGAGAATGCCGAGCAAGAGTACGCTACAATATCAAGGTTAATAACAAGAACACACGCCGTCAAATTTAGAGAGAGGTTGCACAGCCATACATAGAAACGACAAGCTCAAGATACGAGGGCGTCTTAAGCCGATCGCATTGGTCGTCTTTTGGGGCAAAAACGTCCATGGTGGATATAAGATGAAGTGCGCGAAGGTATAATAATACGGCCGCGCAGCTTCGGGAGAGGATGAAGAAGGAGTCGTCCCAGCAGGTGTCGCAAGAGAGAGAGAGGCTCACGAGAAGCCTGGCAGGCACGAGAAAATGTTCACAAGTAATCACGAGATCAGACGAAGGAGCGCCAGGGTCCAGTTGTCTGTCGTCAAAGAGGTTTGCCCAGCTTAGCTTTGGACTGGTTTTGGGCACGGGCTCGTGCGGAGAGAAATGATAGAAGGTCGGGCGCCCTGCGTTGCCGGGGAGTGACGTATGATGGGTTATTTTAGTCGGTGTCTTTGCTGTTTGTGTTTCGCGGGGAGGGGCAGCGTTGTAGAAGAGACTCAAGAGAGCGTAGCGCAGCGCAGCTGGAGCGGAATACCGAGCGAGTCGGTACTGACCGATAGTCGACGATACGAGGATATGAATTGCCCTTTTTGGCCAGCTGAACTAGGAGATCATGATTGGTGAGACAGAGAGAAGAGAAAGTTTCAAGATACGGGTTATCTTGGTACCTGTGTTGAAGTCAAAGGAGAGGTTTCGTAATTGTGGTGAGATGGGGACAGGATAAAAAGAAAAGAGAAGAAAGGAAGTCGGAGAATTAATTAATGTAATCAAATGACGACCACCTCAAGCTGAATATAAGACTGTTCCTTCCTGTCTTCCGTACCTTGCCTTGCCTTACCTAAAAACTAAGGGAAAAGCGGGTGGCTCTAAACGGAAACCTTCGAGCACCTGCCCTGAATTGTTCCAACAGTACCTTACTAGGGGTACAACATCCAAGTGGTGATCCATCTCCCGCTGTAATCCGAATAGAGGAAATACACTTCCGTTTGATATTCACACCTCACGTGTTTGTTTTCTTCGGCAGTACCTGCCTGCCCTGAAAGCCCAAAATTACAGTGACCTGGAAACTCAAACACAGTGTTATATTTCCTGAATTATACCTGTAATCAATGCCTCTTTCAACTCTTCAGAACAACTGCCAAGACGGAAAACGGCGATCTCGAGCTGCCCTTTTTGTATCGTCACCCGCTGGACCCTGCAGAAGAGAAATACGGCCATTGGATTTGTCGGAGGCCGCTGAGGAGGTCCTTTGTCTACCGGGGGCTTGGCGCCAACCCATATGACGTTACTATGAGGATATATGAGACAGTCGACGATGGCCTCAGTTGTTTGATCTACAGTGAGAGGTCCTTCAGAATCTGTTCCAATATAGAGAATGTCACAGGACCCTTGAATTGTCCAACTGAAAAGACCCTTGAATGTTACATATCTTGAGATTAGAGATTGGCTAGGATCATGATAAGCATGTAAGTGACAGTCAAAGAAGTTAGGTACCCACTCATGTACCTCTTTTTCTCGTCCATCACCATCTCGCAACTTGCAACTCAACTTACACCATGAACATGGATGATCCTGAATCGGCAATTGAATCAGCGCCCTCACATTCAGAGTTACAGCCGAATGATCTGCAGGACAAGGACAAGGACCAAGATCAGCAGCAGAAAGCACCATCATTAAACCTCATCGCTGAAAATCAAATCATTCAGCCTGATAATGACATAAACAACCAACAACCTTCAATCATCAAACAAAATTACTACACATCTGCGCAATGGACTGCCGATGGAACATCACTCATCGTATCATCTGCCATCAACTCAATATCCACCTTTGTCCTCCCTGAAGATCTCCTCGACCCATCAGCTTCACGCCCTCGACATCTCGAGTCTCAATCCTCAATATCACTTCCTGAGCCTTCTCAAACGATCATCCCCGCGCCCTTCTACTCTCTAGCTGAGCCAACCTCGCAAACAGTCCTCGTAGGATGTCGCGATCACCCTGTCCAGCTCTACCATCTCTTCCCTCCAGATGATGATGGTCTTGCGTCGCGTTCTGCCCCACTTGCTTCGTATAAATTAATACGCCGTGAAACAGAAGAGTATATCACGCCCTCGTCTATCCTCTGGGATGCACCTGGGACGCATTTCCTCGTGGGCTCAACGAACCGGCTTGACTACTTTGACATGACTCGACCAGGATCAGATGGTCCGATACTTACTATACCCACTATCCCTTCTAAACGTCATATATCGAAGGGAAATGGAGTTGGTATGAAGGGCACTGTCGCTGCTCTCGCTTCCTCGCCTGTGGATGGTAATGGGAGCTCTGTTATTGCTGCGGGGACATGGACGCGGTGGATGGGATTGTATGATGTGCATCGCTCAGACAAGGTTATTGCAAATTGGTCTCTCCCTCGTTCTGAGGAAATAATAGGAGGAATAGGAGGCCAGGGAATTGTTCAAGTCCGCTGGAGTCCATGCGGTCGTTACCTAATCCTCAACGAGCGACATGCCTCTGGTCTTATTGTGTATGACGTCCGCGGAACAGGCGAACTCCTCTGCACTCTTCGAGGTCGAAGTGCACCTACACAGCAGAAGATGACAGTGGACGTCTTTTCTGGCGATCCCTATGCTGAGTTCCCATCCTTTGAGGTCTGGGCAGGGACACACGATGGTGGTGTTGCGGTGTGGGAAGGCGTTGGCTCTCAAGCCGGCGTTGTAGATCCATCATGGACATGGAAGCCCCATGATGCACCGGTAGGAAGCACTGCTCTACATTCAAGCGGTTCTGTGGTCGCAACATGCTCAGGAGGCTGGGGCTTTGGAGACTTGTCGGAAACTCAGACAGTGTTTGACGAGTCTAGTGTCAAGATCTGGACTATAGGAGGTTGACTTGATTAAAACATGGTAGGCTGAATGATAATCACGAAAGCTGGTAAGACGTCACTCAAAGGAATCCACAGTTAAGTATAGGTTCAAGACGAGTAAGTATTGGCTGTTCCGTTCAGCTTCCAACTTCGAGTTCCAATTGACTACCAAAAAGACGAAATAAAGACATGATAGATGAAGGTGGACAAAAAGATTCAAAATAAATATTGTTTAATTTCTTTGTATCATAGCTATCTACCGAAAACCCATGCCCATGTCTATGACCGTGTGGCCATCATATCTCATGATTAACCCAAGCTCAAGCTCATCTATCCAGCACTCTTGGAACCGCTCATTACAACTCCTCCTTTATAGTAATGCAACTCCGGATATCAACTCCATATGCCAACCCAAAAGCAAACGCCAAAGCAATTCTCGAGCTGTGGTGTCACCCGCCGCCTGTTTATGTGCCGTCTCCCCTTTTCATCAAATTCATATACAATTAGAACCACCCAGGCCCACGATTCTGCTGCCACAACGGTCCTCCACCACCGCCGCGGGGTCCAGGATATACTTGGCTCATTTGACCAGGCGTACTGATCGCTGTTCCAGGTCGTGGATGTTCCTCGCTGATTCGTCCTAAGCCGGAATTGTAACTATGGATGAAGTCGTCGTCTCGCGTCAAAGGCACCTCATCATGCTCCATCTGCGAAGATCCACCCACAGCACCCGCCGAATTACCATAACCATAATTAGAAGAAGGATCCCATGGTTCGGAATAAGGCTCATCGTGGTCAGCAGCCGGGTTCATAGTGCGCTGCTGGTTCCTCACTGGAACTGGTGGGGGCGGTGCCATTTTGTCGGTCTCATGCATAAGGGGCACCGGAGCAAAATTATGATTATTGTCTAACGGCGGACTAGAAAAATTCATTTGTTAGCTTTTTGCGCGAAAAGTATAAAAAGAGGTCTTTCATGGGGACGCTTACCCAATGTGCTGCACCTGGTGTTTCACGCCTGGCCCCTGGCGCGTATTTCCCTTCTTACGCTTCCAAAGCCAAATGCCGAGGACGATGAGAGCTGCGAGAGCTGCTACGCCACTGATGGCACCGCCGATGATGGCGCCTGTGTTCTTGGAGCCATTGTCATTGCCGTCGGTGTCAGGGGCATCAGAGTCGCCAGATTCTGTCGACGATGGGTCTGCTGTCTCTGAAGCTGTGGTTTCTGTGGAGGTATCGGATTCGGTCTCTGAAGCTGCTGAGGTTTCCGACTCTGTTGAGGAAGTTTCTGAGTTTGTTGTTGATGCTGTTGATTCTGTTGTTGAACCTGAGGAGGTTTCTGTAGATCTTGTAGATGCGCTCCTTGTCGTTGATGATTTTGTGGCGGAAGTGTCCGTTGTTGTTGTCCTTCTCCTTGTTCCCAGCGTTGTGGGTTCAGACAGTGAACTCACTGGTGCTGTAAGAGGAACGTTTATGCTTGTGAGGTCAATCGCACTCTTTCCTGAAGCTGTAGCCACGACTTTTGTCGCCAAACCAGATGTTGAACCGCATCCAAATTGAAAGAAACCACCTTCATAGCTATTTCTGTAGCACGAGTCGCTTCCTCGGCAAGTGAAAACATATGGATTCACCTCTGTTTGTGGTCCACTGTCTGCATCCACACAGCCTGTGAATACACCGGATGTACAAGATCCGCCATCGGGACAACATCCCACAGCGCCATGATCGACGTCTACCACACAATGCGATCCGGCAGAACAAGTTGCTGGTAGTCCAGGATCCCCCCTAGGTAACCACAAACAGTGTTCAATTGCCTTCGCAGCAACAATGAGTCGTCGGGCGCAGGCGTCGCGGCGAGAGGATACGGCAGAACATTAAGTTCATAAAAGTCAACGGTCTTTGTCGGTTGTGGCAGAACGTGGCCGGTAGCGAAATTGAGAACGCCAGAGATGACGAGAAACGGCGGTAGACGCGCCATTAGAGCCGGGGTCATGATTTGCGATCTCGTGAATCTAATCTCAAGCAAACATGGTATAGTCGATCGGTTAAATCTGTAGCGTACTTAAGATCGTGGGCGGTTTTTTGGTGAAGTCGTAGATATTAAGAGAAGAGAGACTTGAGAAAGAGGACACCCTTTGAACGGAAGAGAGGAAACTCAGCGCACGGGCAAAAAGGACAAAGGATGCAAAAATGATACGATGAGTAACCAAACTAATGATGTAACAAAGGGGTTAGAAAAGATCAAAGTAGGAAGAAACCAAGTGCCCTTGAGTAGAAGGGGGCCTGTGACACTCAAGTAGCGAGTTTATGAGAGGAACCCAGTCTGTGCCTCGTCGACTTATCCAAGACTTGGCCTGACTTTAACCAAGTGGAGTGAAATGTACAGTAAAAAGTGGCTGGCCGGCGTAAAGTACAGTCTCTAGACTGGTGAAATAGAGAATATGAACTAGGGAAGACCCTGAACGTTTCGAAATCGAGACGGTTTTGCTGCTTCTATGTATCCTCTGCCTGAGTCGCGTGTGGGCTTCCTTGCAACCCTGCCACTCTATTTCGCAGTCAAGCCACCTTTGACCAAGACTCTGATTTCTTTCGATTACGATTTCTCGTCAGATAAGACTCCAGGATCTGTAAGTTATAGCCCGTCGACGAGCGAACCAGGAACCAGAACAGAGACGTTTAAAGTGCTGGCAGCCGGGGGGCGTCTTCCGATACTGCAACCCTGTATCCCACGACAACTCGGGATCCAATCAGGGATGAGGGCCAGGCCGTTTTATGAGAGGCTGGTGTGGGCTTCGGGGGAGGCTGGGGTGATCGTTGGAAAATCAAGGAAGGTTTTGAAGAAGCAAAGTTTGACGGATTCGTTTAGTTACGTTGAATTAAAAAGAAATTCAAAGAGAAGAAGAAGAGGTACGATAATTTGAGTAAACAATTAATGACAGAGTAACTCCATAGCAACCGGAAACAATTTGTCGATGTTTGGAATGCTTGGAAGGATTCTAGCAACCAATCCCATCTTTAGAACCTAGAGCCTCCTACGACACTTGGACAGTTGCACACCCTCAGAGGGGGCCTAGAGAGGGGCCATATCTGCCACGTTAGCATGCAGCTTCTTAAGAATGTCTCATCTCACGCCCTCAATTTGCGTCGATCTTTGTGCATTAGTGATCACTAGTGTCTCTTTTGTTTGCATCCACATCCCTTCTATTCTATCAGTCCAACACATTTCCTTCCGTTTCCAATATTACCATCCACCAACATCAATATTTGATATTATCTTAATTGTTCTGCTATAGCTCAAATTGAACTCACCTGCCACAACTGTTCTAGCCGCCCAAATTGACTGTCAGTGCATCAGCTGACACCATCATCGTTTGGTAACTGTGGCGGTGTTTCACCCTCAATTTTTGCTTCTAAATCGGGATACTGCGCATCTTGACCGCAGATCTCATACGGATCCTGCACCACTTTGAACTCGTATCGAGATGCATATCTAGCATGATTGTGGCCACGATGCAAAAGAATATGCATAGAACATCATTTATTCCCCCACTCTATTGCTGCCAGCACATTTCCTATCCGTGCATTACACGAAAGACAAGACTCTAAACCATGCCATAACTCCTCAAAATTCAAGCCATTCTGTGCCACGAGCGTACATTATCCTTTTCGAACAAAACCAACACGGCTATACCATGATGTGGCCAATAACACCACAATACGCGCAAACATGCTCATATCTTCCTAGACGAGCTCATTACTGCAGTTAGACTGTCCCTCATAAGACAGGTTCTTCAGTTCCTGCGCACCCGCTTTGCGAGCCTTCTTGGCCTCTTTAGCCTGCTTCTTCTCGATCTTCTTTTGTTGCTTCAGTGCCTTCTTCTCCTTGCGAGAGAGCTTGGGAAATTCACTATCGGGTCCTCGAAGAACAAAACCAGGATGCATGATGTTGAGCAATACGAGGGCGATCAAGATCGGCGTAGCATCGAGACCTAGTGGATACTCTTCATGAATCAGAAGTTGGTTGTGCTCATTAACACCAGGACCAAATTCGATCAGACGATACACGATTCGGACCTTGACGTTGTTAGCTGGATAATTCGGGTCAAGAAAGACGAAGTACTTACCACAATGAGAATGAGAACAGCAAGCATGGTCAAGATGAGCCACTTCATGCGTCCCATACTTCGACCCTCGAGTTGTCGAAGCTTGAAGTAGAAGAAAGCAGTGATACCACTGAAGATCAGAATGACAGCGAGCTGCAGACCAACACCACCCATGTAAAGCTTCTGTCCAATACGAACGGCATTCATGTCATCGTTATTCGAGAGCATGCTTCCACCGGCACCCTGTACCAGGAAAAGAATGATATCCAGCCAGACGAAGAGGAGTGTCATGCGGATAGCCTTGATGCCTAGGAGCTTTCGATCAGGCATGCGGAAGTATACCATCCGTGCGACGGCCATGTAAACGAAAGCATTGATCCCTGAGTCCGTTAGCATTTGGCCACACGGGGTTACCTTATACTTCAAGATACTTACAGAGAGGAGCAAGAAGGAAGAACAGTTGACCCCAGATGAGGTATGTCGTGTTCTGCTGATTCCTGCTTCCTAAGGTCTTGAAAGCAAATCCAATGGTTTCCCAAGCTGCACCCATAATGGCTACCCAGCAGAATTTCTATAAACTGTTAGGAACTAAAAGACCACTGTCATATGACGGTATTCACCTTCTTGAACAGAATTGCCTGAATAAGATGGACCATAGTGGTCATGCCGAATAGCACACAGAAAGCAAGATTGGCAGCGAAACTAGGGTCGAAGAAATAGTTGGCGTTGCACGCATCAACAGGGACACGGCCATGTTTTCCAGGTACAGCAGTTGTACACGTCGCCGTTGCTGAAGACGTAGTTGTAGCTGTTGAAGTAAAAGTTGTGGTAGACATGGTGTAAGTCGTCTAAGTCGGGTCTAGTAAAGAAGGAGTTTGAAGGTGATTCTAGAAGTGAAGGTGATTATTGAGCTGATGAGCTTGTCCGATAAACGACATTTCGGTCATTCTCATCTCTTCCTTATATACAACTCCATCACATCTTTTGGCGTAAATACTCCATTTGGCGAGCTTCACTTCATGTCTGAGGCTCAGATCCAGCCCTAGAAGCTCTCCATGTCAGATTTGATCCGCTACAGGGGTCTCTTTGGCGGGGACGCGCTGGCTCGCCAAAGCTAACAAGTGCTCAGCCAACCAGGTGTGACCATTTCGAGGCTGTGAGTGTCAAGAACATTCAGGACTCCCACGTTTCAGAAACTGTCAAATCTGTAATTGACGACTGGACCAGTCAGAGTTGTTCAAACCGAAGATGAGTTCCACTTTGATATTCAAATGGCGGCGTGGCTTTGAGGAGCTTCATCTTCCTTCAAGGCTCAGCTTATTTTTAAGATGTGTCGTTATTGGCTGGTTCGTGTATTGAGAAACTGATGTGGGGGAATTGGTTGATGAGATTCTTAAAGATACTCCGTTGCTTACTTGACTTTATTCTTCGATATACAACTTCATCCCCATGGTGCTGATATTTCATTAGTTCACTCGTTTGTTTCTTGCTGAAGTCGTCACCATGCACGCACTTCTGATGCTGGTTGACGCGTTCTTCAGCTCAGCCTCCGCTGAACAGGATCCTGCTCGATTGCTGAGATACACCAAAGACAGCCCAGGATGGCTGTCCAGCCAAGCTAACAACTTGAAGATATCTCAAATGCTGTGTCGGTGCTATACTACTGTAATATTAAGATCTGTCGGGTTTCAAGATGTCAAGTTGTCTTAGGGACAGGCACTGGCAGATTCTCTATAGCACCATAGTCCTTCGCCGAGTTGACCACGGCCCAATACAAAAGCCATGTTTCATTACTCAGTCAACCTGTTTGTCTCTCAAATCGACTCACAGCATTCTGAAACCAATTGCTGATACTTGTAGTCAATCTACCCGCCTCTATCATTCTATGAGGCCATTCCGACTTCCCAGAATCCTCATATCATTAAACCTGACCTCGAACCCCGAAATCTTGATTTCTCGAGTCTAGATCGTCCAATCCCCAGTTGCTAAAGATTGACAAGCATCTCTTAGTGGTGCCAAGCTTCATCCAGGGACCCTTTTTCTCCACTCTGACATGAACCCTTGAGACTGTCACCAGCCTCTGGTTGGGGCTCTTTTTGCAGCTATCGCCAGGAAAGATGCCTATTCAGAGTAGAGGATCATCAGTGCGCGCTAAGCTCGGAGGGCGGTAGTTGGTAAAAAAAGACTCTACAATTTTTGTTTTGACGGCCGTGATGCAGTGACGGTTTAATTTGGGCAGTGGTGACCTTCTCCTGAAACCCCCAAAAGGTCACCTTTTCCTGCCTCCCACTCATTCTCGTGATACCATCAGTTACCATCCATCCAATTTCTTGGTGGTCGGGAGCCGATCTGCAGCGCAACTTGACTCGTCTTAAGGGTGCACAGGCCCGCAATTGGTTGACCGCTCGAGCGCTTCTTTCCCCAGATCCATCCCTTCCTTCTCCATTCAATCCATCTCCGCATCTCCTCTCCCTCACGTACATCGTGATAAAGTCAAAACAGAGGAAGGTGACGGAAGAATCTTTCCGATCGACTTCGAAACCACCTCGTGGCCGAGGGACAGCTCCTGACAACTCCAAGAAACCTACGGCCTTTACGGGGGCTATGCTCCTTTGATTGATCATATTTTATCTGAATTAGGTCCTCATCATGCCTATCAAGGTCAAATCCAAGAAGCTTCCTGCCCCTCGCGAGGGTAGTCCTGTCTCCATCCGCCATTTGGACGAATACGAACGCGATCTTCCCGACATTGGCACTCACGATAACTTCAGAGATGTCGTCAAGAAGCTCTCACTGTGAGTTGCCATGAATTTGTATCAATTGACACTAACTGACACTCTATAGATACTTTGTCGATGTCATTGAGCTGCCAAGCACCTTTGAACAGCTGAGAACCACAGCTGCGGGGACTCCTCTACGCGTCTTGGTGGATCATCTCGGTGCAACCTGCACCAACCCGGCAATTGTCAATGCTCTTCTGTATGTATCAACCCAAAAACAATTTGCGGCGACTTGTTCTCTATCAGCATTATTCTCAGTTGCTGCATCGTCATCCCTTCTGTGGTCTCTGTGCCTGCAGATGAGATGCTGGCAGGGGAGCCAATCACATATCTGCTCAACCCATCCTCAATCTGACGGGATATGTGGTGCAACGATGACTCGGAACACATTGCCCGATGCTGCTGGGGCCTTTGCTGACTGATCAAATCTCTACAGAGCTCTCAAATGGCATTATGCATCTTCGTCAGAACACCGCACTCTGGGAGAATCTCGAGCAGATGCATGTGAAATCGTTGCTTGGCGATTCCTGACTAGGCTTTCTGAACGCGAGGCTGTTAATTACTGCCTTTACGAGATCCCCGATCTAGACGATGAAGACGAAGCTCAAGCAGCCGGTAATGGTCACACTGGCGACGAGGAGGCTGGCGAATCCTCTCCTCTGCTTTCTCACCTTCGCTCCATTGACAATCGCCGACGTGGGCCAGGCCCTGCCGGGAGCAGCATGAAGCGTAACCAACTTCTAAGTTCTCTCTCCCGCTTGACTATGACATCCGATGATGAGGACAGTGAGAACGAAGGCGACCCAACTTCATCGTTTAAGAACCTGAATGCTCTTGAGATTGCAGCCATTGCCGATGCCAAACGCTTCCTCAGCCAGCACATTGTACAAAAGATCATCACTGCTATTTGGAGTGGTGACATAGTCTTTTGGGATAGCCTGTCTGTGCACTCGACAAAGAAGGTCCGGTTCTATAACCCTAGGACTGCAGACCCCTTTTCTCGCCTGCGTGTTCCCAAGTATCTCAAGAGCTGGGAGGTGCTCTTCTTCTGCATTTTCCTCGCCTTGTACTACGCTGTGCTCATTGTGCGAGACGAGTCACGCATCACAATTCCTGAAGTGATACTTTTCTTATGGATCGCGGCCTTCTTCTACGATGAGCTCAGCGAATGGCTTGATGCGGGCTCAATCTTTTATGCCACCGACATCTGGAACCTATTCGACATGATCATGATCGCCATCGGGTTTACCTTTGCAATTCTGCGTAAGAAATATGGTCCTTTTGACAAAGTGACATGCTGACACAACTAGGTATTATTGGCATCGTTCAGAACAAACCCGAGCTGAATGATCTTGCATTTGATATCCTGGCACTCGAGGCACTCTTCATGATTCCTCGTATCTTCTCGATTCTCAGTCTGAGCCCTGCCTGGGGCACACTTATTCCATGCTTGAAGGAGATGGGCAAGGACTTCTTCAAATACATGGTGCTTGTTGTTGTCGTGTATTGTGGTTTCCTGACCACATTTTCGCTCGTGGGTCGTAATGTCTTTGCATTCAAGTCCATGGCCTGGATCTTGACAAAGATATTTTACGGCTCGGCGCCCATCGGATTTGAGATAATGAATCAGATTGACCCCTTCTTTGGACCTCCTTTGATGATAATCTTCATCACACTTTCCAGTTTCCTGTTAATGGGCTCCCTGACAGGTATGCTGTCCAACAGCTTCTCGCGGGTTATCACCCACGCTAAGGAGGAGTACCTGTATGTGTACAGCGTCTACGTCTTGGAAGCGTCGACTAGTAACCGACTCACCCATTTCTTCCCTCCTTTCAACCTGCTGGCTCTGGTACTCTTCCGACCTTGGCGTCTATTCTTTACGGCTGATGAGAAGTTCCGTGCTGGGCGTATCGTGCTCCTCAAGGCGACTCATTGGCCCATTGTTGGTGTCATCAGGCTATACGAGATGTATCGCAAGCCAGGAGCCGTGGAGGATGAGTTTGCTGGATTCAAGGGTCCATCGCACTCTTCTAGGCGTAACGGTAGGCACGCAATCGCTCAGAAGCGATCTACGTCCCATGTCGGTCGCCAGGCGCTTTCTCCTAGAGGACGAGCGAATGGTCATAGTATCGAGGTGCGTGAGGATGATGTGGATGCGCCAACAGCCATGGAGGTACAGCTCACCGAGCTAAACCGCAAGATCGATCAGCTCACTGCAGCTATCATGGCTATCCAGGAGCAGCAAGCAAGTGGGAACGATAGTGGAAGCACAAGTACAAGTGCCACTCCCGCCTAGCTACGGGCTTTTGGTGATCGGGCCGGTCCTTGACAGCTTTGGAACATTGGAATGTCTAGTATTGGGTTCTTCTCTGACCGGGTCTCGTCGGTCGAGGTCAAGAGTGGGTATTCCAGCAGAGGGGCCGGCAGCGAAGCGTTCCAGAAGAATTGGCATGGTGTTGGGAGTAGCAGTGGGGAGACGGAGAGAAGCGGCTCTGGACATCTGCTGTGTCTGTGGACCAGGTCGTTTAGGAATTGGATAGGATACGAGTCGGAAACGACCCCACAACTTGGTGCCCTCGAAGAAGCTTGTATTGGATTCGTCAAGTTTGCATTGTTTCTGGAATTGTTAGGAGTTATGAGTAGCATTAGGTCGAGGATTCTTACACTCCCTATGAATATAATGTCTTTCAGATTGGCAATGAATGGAACTACCTGACTTTCGTGAATAATATACATATTTGCCCTACTACTCGAACCATATGTTGGTGTTGGCCGTAGAATTTGGGTATAAGTTAAAGCCGGTCTATGCCGTTGGAGGAGCTGGCAAACGGTGATCACCCTGGAGAGCCGTGCCTGTATATGGGCTGAATCAGTTTACTAGGGTGACCTGCAGAGTCCTCGTCATGATAAGACCGCGATAACTATGCAAAGGGATTGGGTGAGGAACAGAGTTCCCGGTGAGCGGCAAACGTCGGCGTGGGGAAGATGGCGTCTAAGTCATGGAGAATGGAGAGCATTGCGGGGGAGGAAGAGTCTAGTGTTGAGACGGCTTTAATCAACGGGCGGTAAAGTTATCAAGACTGTGTTTTTGTATATCGTTGTTGTTATAATGTGACTTTTGGTGTTTAATGCGCGATGGAAGAGCTTTTGATCCTGTTGCCCAACGTGGGCTTGAGCGTGAGTTTTGTTGGCTGTTACACAATCCTCAAGTAGTAACCATGAAATTTGAACACATCTCAGAACAACTCCTCTAAATCTCAAATTCAACAAGCTCATACAATATCTATCAGTTCTCGGTATCAATCTTTAGTATCCGCGACAAGCCGCCGACGTTTGAGTCCCTCTAAACTCGGGTATGGCTCCGAAGTGTCCGCCGAGATCGGCCCCCCAGACTCAGTCAGCCAGAAGAGCTTCAGCTAACGTTAACCCCCAAAGCAAAGCTCAGGCCGCGCCCAACCAGCGCATGGGAATTAGCTAGCTACCGCTAGTTCATGCACTTTCAACGTTTATCCACTGAAAGGGTTGCTTCGGGGTCTACAACCGTTTAGACCTCCCATTATCTCGTGGTTTTTTTTCCTCCAGTTTCCTTTTATTCCCCCAAGACCTGTTTTCTTTTCGTCATACCTGTTCCGTCGTCTCTTCTTCTTCTGACAGACTTGATATTGTATTTCTGTATTTCTGAGCGAGTTAGGGTCTGTTGTTACCACGGAAGAAAAGAAAGAAAGAAATCTTGGACATCATGAAAGACTCTGATGCGCCGGCGTTGGTTCTCGCCGGGACAACTACGCCCGAGCAGATCACCACCACCAAAAATACATGGAATACCAAGAACTTGACATCACGACTCGGCACTGACTTTCTATCCGCTGCGAGCGCTGCTTCCATGGTAGCGCCCATCATTGCCATTATCGACCGGTCAGTAGTACTCATGCCCCTTGGACTATCACCGCCATTCATTCATATATTATTTCTGAGACACGCCGACATCGCCAAACTCCAAACTCCAAAAGCTGACATCATGACAGCTCCATCATGGAAAACGCATCTGGCGCAAACACCCTCGCAAACTCCGTAAAATCCTCCCTCCGAACCCTCTTCACTCGCCCACACACAATCCTCTTCTCGAAGCCCACAGCCCTCATCTTCTGCCTCTACGGCGGAACATATCTCACCGCCAACGCCGTCGACACTTCATTCTCCACCGTCAACAACAAGCCCGCCTCGAGCGTCACAGCCGGAACAACGAAATTCGCTGCTTCTAGCGCCGCAAACATTGGAGTGTGTATCTATAAAGATCAGGTTTTCGTGCGCATGTTTGGACCGCCTGGTGTTGTGCCTAGACCTGTTCCTCTTGCTTCATACACACTTTTTGCGCTGCGCGATTGCTTGACTATCTTTGCGTCGTTCAACGTCCCGCCTTTGCTGGGACCGTATTTGGATAAGCGATTTTCCGAGGAGATGAAGAAGAGAGTTTCTGGGCTTTATGCAGCGCAGTTCATGGCTCCCGCTATGGTGCAATTCATTTCTACGCCTATGCATTTGTTCGGTCTAGACCTATACAATCGTCAAGCGACTGGCCCTGGGGGAGCTGTTGTGACGATGCGTGATCGATTAGATCTCGTGCGGCGCAATTGGTTCATCAGCTCTGTAGCGAGAATATGCCGAATTGTCCCTGCTTTTGGAGTCGGTGGTGTCGTCAACATGAAGGTTCGCAAGAACCTCATGACCAAGCTGGAGTAGATGAACTCGGCCCAGCCTATCATCTCACACTGCAAGAGTTTCTCTCTGCAGATTCTTTGATTTCCGGCGTTTACAGTTACGAGGCTACGTGACTATGGTTGCATTTACTTGTTTGATCTTGTCAAGATCCACGGCATTGGGGGTTAATGTTACATCTCATGGTTTTCAACGAATGGTGTCATACAAAAGAGTACATGATGACGATCCATCACTCATAATAGACTTCTAGAACACGATAGACAGGATACTAGGTAGCTACGGCAAGAGTCAAGACTGATACAGCCAAACTCGATTAAATGAGAAACGGATTTAACATATTCGACCTATATCTTCAAGTGAGAGAAATGCAATTTGGTAATAACGGACAACACCATTGACATTGATATTCACATGCATCGCTTACACAAAATAACACAATTGTCGCTTTCATTCATCACGCTCATGCGCGCTCATCTTTGCTTTCCACCTCCACCACCAAGACGTCTGTGTCTTGCCTCCTCAGATCCTCGAAATACTTGCAATGCAAGCTTTTTGCGACTCCAGTAACGTCCGCTATTTGAACCTATAGGCCTCTCAATGGGGCTTACTGGAACCACCTAATTCAACCTCCCCAGCCATCCTCTCCCCTATACTGTAACGCGTACCACGTCCACCAACCATCGACCCCTATTCCGAATGCCCCCTCCAGGCCCTGCCACTTTCGGTGATGAAGTACAGAAGAAGATAAAAAGTAAAGGGAAGAAAAGCACTAAGCTTAGTCGTGTGATATCAAAAGAGCATTCAAAAGGCCATATACCTGCCTGAATACAGATGTGAAGAAAGTTTTCAAAAGAGGAGCAAATGGGGGGACATGAGAAATGCCCAAAGAAGAGACAACGAGCGTCAGGTACACTGGTCATGAAACTTATGCGTCATCCAGCTAATAAAATGGTATCAAAGAAGCATCAAGTTCCTCGCCGACGTGTCGTCATGAAATCCGCATAGAATAAAATGGGACAAGAAAAAAAGGACAAAGAAAAAGAAAAAAGTGTTGAAAGCATGCGTGTCGTCCGTTGGGGACTCATAAGAAAGTGTAGATCCATCAAGGAAGAGAAGAACGCACGTTTTCAAAGTGTAGGGCCAGAGTCTGTACTATACGGCAAGGGTTCGGGGACGAGAATATACGATGTCAATGCACACACAACGCTCTTTGGTGGACTTTTGGGTTTGGCTGTCAACTTAGATCCGTCCATGCAGCGTTACAATCAAGCTGAAACGCCGCCGTCGTCATCTTGAGTGGGCAGTTCACACGGCCTCCACATAGAGCAGAAGCTTCTCGTTCCGCTGTAGAGCATAGTCCAAGTCGTTGTCACTAAGCATACTTGGCTTATCTCCAGTGGGCTCGTCCTTGTAAAACAGTTGGACCTCCTGACCCGCCGGCACCTTCAGACGATCACAAATCTTTTCATAAAGCGCTTGGAATGAAATGTCTGTCGGTACTCGGATGGCAATGAGATCTCCGTTGAAATACATCTTGATCTTCATTGCTGATGCCGGTTGAGCCGGAGGTTGCATACCGTTGCCGAGAGAGGTTTGTGAGGGCTGTGACAAAGACGATGGTTGTCTTTGGATGTCAGGGGAACCTTGGCCCATCTGATGCGCTGGTGCAGCTGAGAGCCCATATGCACTACCGTTAAGATTGTTTTGTGATCCACCAGCTGGGGACTCGGCCGAAGACAGTTGTGATGCTTGTGATAGGCGGTACTCTTCTTCGTTGTCATTGGGATCGATCTCGTAATCTCCTTCGCGGGGTGCAAAGAACTGTCTCACCAAGTTGCACCTCGAAATGTAATGGGGTTGATTCAGCATGTTCTTCACGTAGGCATCCAAGTTATGGAGGCGTCCTTCGGTGATTGCATCTGTGACATAGTTGACCGGTCCGGGCATGTAGGGCAGTGTACGCTTCTGTGTCCCTGTGTTACCGGCCTCAGCTGGAAATTCGGTCAAAAGAGCGATCTGGAAATCGTAAAAGTCCTCGTAATAGCGTGACAGCTCCCACTGCCGTCCGTCTTCCAGCAATGCTTCGATCACGAACCAGTACTTATCCTCTGCAAAGCAGTATCGTGGTATGCGTGCTTGTAGTGGTGCGTGGAGTTGTGAAGCCGGCTTCTGTACATGATTTTGCTGAGGTTGTTGGGATGTTCGAGGTTGAGATGCGTATCCGGCCTGCGCTCCATTCTGAGAAGGTTGTCGAGAATGCTGTTGTTGCTGAATGCTCATTCGTTCCATGCCTTGCTCAATACCCTGCTCAGGTTGAGGGCCACCTCCCTCAAACTTGCCCAGTGTGATGCTGCTGTTCTTGTATTCGGCGGCCATCTTCTTCCATTCTTCCACCTTTGGAACACCAGCACGCTTTATGGCGTCACCCGGGTTTGCAATTGCCTTATCGCTTGCCATATCACGAATCTCGACAAAGGAAACGGGGATGAGTCCTGGGCCACCAAGTCGACCGATGGGTTTAGCCACGAACCACTCGGGATTCGATTGTGCAATGACGATAATGGCCTCGCCTGCTTTGGCCTCCAACTCGTCTGCCCTCTCCGCAGCAAAGTCGTACATGACAATTCCGTAGACCATGGCGCCTGACTTTCCAACCGACTTCGAATTACGCTGGTGACCTTGCTGAGGCACGGCTGTGGTGGGTGACATGACGGCTGGCGCAGTTTGCATTGCTGGAGATTCGCTATATCCAGAATCGTGGTCGGGGTTCTTTGTCGGAGTGGGGAGTTGACCACCGTCGGATTGTGCGCTATCTCTCTCGGTTCGACCAAGCGCTTGGAAGAAGGTGACAGGCACGAGACCCCGGGCGTCAGGGAGAGCTGGATTACATGCTTCGTACCAATCTTGGTCGTTTTCGCGGCCGATAACGTGGAAAAAGTCGCCTCTCGAAAAGCTCAGTTCTTGGCTCGATCGTGCCTCGTAATCGTAAAGAGCTCGAATGACCTGCAAATTAGATTGGGCATCAGCGTCTAAGCTCAGAGATCAAAGTCAAGTTTGTCGTGGAACCATGGCGGTGCTGAATGTGGCAGACCATATTTGAATAGGATTTGAGGCTTGAGATTGGCTTGGGAGTGGGAGGCCACCAACCTTCTTTGGAGGAACAATGGCGACAGCCGATTTTGGAGCGACGGATCCTTTGTCCTTGTCACCTTTGATCGAACGTCGAAGAGCCTGCACGAAGCGCATTACTGTTAGCTTTTGACTCGAGTATTTCTTGGACAGCCAGCGAAGCCGGCGCAAATAATGAGCGAAGACGAGTTGAATGCGGCGGGGGAGGGGGTTGGGCTCAGGCAGCTGAGAAGATGGGAATAACGCCTTGTGAGGCACGAGAAGCTGGAGGCAAAGCACGGCATGATACAATAGAGATATGGATGGCAGGCTGCTGCATGAAGAGGCATGAGCGACCGAAGGGAAAGGGGCGATGACGAACCTTCATTTTTGTGTAACTGAATGCCTCCTGGGCAGTTGCAAGTTGGGAAGTTGTGAATCTCTCGAAGGTGGAGGTTGTAGAAAAAAGGACCAAGCAAGAAACTGGATCGCAAGACGAGACGACCTGAGTAAGGCGAGGTAAAGTCAAGGTACTACAGTACCTACTAAAAGTACGAGACGAGGGACGACGACACGACCCGGCGGGACACAGCGGCGGGCTGGGCTACCTTATTTCGATCCAATCCGATGTTTGGTGTGAGGCAAGGTACGCTACAGCAGTGGCAGTACAGTACAGTAAAGTAGGTACCGTACCTCTATTAACCGCTAGACCGGGCACGGGCAAGGCAGCGAGGTGCAGGACGGACAGACACAAAGTTGTAGCGGTTGCAGCAGCGCCGTTGAAGTGGAGGGGAGGGACCTGGACCTGGACCCTCTGAGGTGAGGCAGGGTAGGGTACCTTACAGCGAATGCCTGGGGTTGCACACACACAAAGTGGGAGTCGAGCCGGGTTGGGCTGCGAGCGAGCGAGCGCGAATGTGAGTACACACCAGGGGGCGAAGTAGCCTGAGAGTGGGCTGGACGATGTTCCCTCGAGTGGATCGAACGTTGTGGAAGCGATTTTGTGTAAGTTTCTGAGAGAGGTTGATGAGATGGAGAAAAAATAGCAGTTGGTGGTTGGAGATAAAAAGGGCAATTGTTGTTTGCTTTGCTTTGCCTTGCCTTGCCTCTTTTGCTTCTTGATGACCTGATAGCTGTGGTTGGTGCAGCCGTATAAGTGTGACTGATCAGATACTCGGAAATTCAACGTCCGTGAATCTGTGACCCTCGACGCGTATGTACGATAATCACCAAGACTAGACAGAGACCCTTCGCCTTGGTTTCCCTTTGACGTGATATTGACGCGAGCTGTGGGCGCCTTGAGTTTCAACGATAAAGGTAAAATGGCCAAGGCTGCGCTCCTCAGCGAGAGATGGAGGGTGAAGTACGCTCTCAAGGTGGGGTGATGGAGGGGTCACCTCTGACAACTTGGCGCCTGCCAGCGACGTCTTGTAAGTGATTTAGTAGATAGTGGAGATTTGACCAAAGATGTCATAAAATGGAGATGAAGTCAAGAGAAGGGAGAAAGAAATGAACAAATGCGAAAGAATAAATCGTATATTACCTTAATGACAGTAGAGTCCATGAATGGCTCTGGTTGGTGGTCAGTGATCAATGGTCAACACTCATATCCCAATCAATGGCTTCAAAGCTTTGACTGAGCTTCAGCTACCTATGGATGTACTAACTACTACAGTTAGAGCATCATCTGTGGAAGCTGACATGCTTGAACTGAGCTATTCTTCCTTAGCTGTAACCTCTTTCCCTCTAAAGCCATTAGAAGCTGCCAAGCTCATCTCGAAGCTCTCGACTCAACTCTTGATAATCAAACCATCCTTGTCAACGGCGTCAACTGTCAACCCAGCGCTTACGAGACACCACAAACTGCACACGACAGGTTTCTCAATGGGTAAATTGTGCATGAGATCTGCCACACCAACACATCCTCCACGCTCAAAATAACTTTCACAAACACAAGCAAACGCTTACACGGCCAATCCCTATCGTATTCTACCCCTCATAATCAACAACAAAAGGCATCGACTTGGCTGTTGACTCGGGCTAACCGCTCAACCCTGTCTCGTCTCATTCCTCTTCGCTCATCCCCGGGCCACGGTCATGGGCATGGGTGTGCGGACAAATGATAAATTAGTCAGGGATCATGGGTGGGTTTTCCAACGAAAAGGTCCCCTCTCTTGTTCGTGATGCCCGATACACACAGACACAGACACAGACGTTAGCTTTGGCGTTGGCACATCACGTCGTTCGTGACGCTAATCAAGGGGAAATTTCCGCAGTGAGCTACAGTGAGTAAGTGACTCGAGGAAACGGGGAAATCGTCGCGTGGCAGGGATGCATCACATACAGTCCAGTCCATGGATGGAACAAACAGGGGGGCCACGCATCGATCGCATTGCATCAAAGACTAGGACTGCGACCTCAATTCTAGAAATCGAGATGAATGATTTGAGAGAACGAGAGCCAGTCTATGCATGCCATGTTAGTGCAGCGTCTCATCCATCTTTCTCTTGCGTTGACTTTCACATATCCCTGGCAAAGATTCAGCATAATACCACATCTTAACATTAATTAATGCCAGTCTCTATCCAAGACAAAGAACCACCCACAGCATACCTCACTTCGCATAAAGACACGACCATCTGACGCCGGATGTTGGTAGCCCATTGTCTTGTGTTTATGCAAACAACTGCCGCGCGCACACATTTCCAGAATGTTAAAGCATGGCTGGATGATGCTCCTTATTAGTCGTGAGGAGAGCATGGATATGCTACGTTCCAGTCTAAAGACTTTTGTTATTCGTGGCTGATCTGATGATATCGTACTGAACCACTGTATCAGCATGCAAGTGAATAAACATGTAACCATCGTGTGTCTCCAAAACTCTCTCTTCACGCGACATGTTGATCTTCATTCAGTCTTCAAGTCATTCTCATTCCATTGAATTCTTTCCATGACCCAACCCAACTGACCCCTCCCCTGCTCACTTTTAGCTGATAATCCACCGGAAGCGTCCCCCGCCAAAATAAAAACCCACGATGGATCATGGCGCCGCTGTCTCGTCTGCGGGTACCGTTGCCCTGGGTCTAATCTCGTGTGTCAATCTCCCGTTCGCTTCAAAAAGACGGTTTCTGTGCTTCACCCGGGAAATATGACTCGTGAAGATCAGCCGTAAGTGTTTTCAATGAAAACTCTTCCTCCTTATCAAAATGTATGTAGATATGGATCTAAGTGCATGTCTTGGAAAACACTTCGTGTAGGAAGGAAGCAAGATTCCCTCCCTTGAGCCAAGACATCATCAGATCCTGTCTATCCCGACACTTCGGGACTCCCTGCTTCCAAGTCAAATTTTCTCTCTAGGCCAGCCCATTGTTTCTCTTTTGGCAGGGGTTCGTCATTGTTCCGGGTCTCGGAGCACAGGAGGTCTTTGTCGCTAATGGCATGTAAACCACCATGAGGTGATGTCTAATGGCAGCCATTTGGCCTCAAGTGAATGCGCCAGACACTTGTTCATCAATTAGTGCTCCTTGACATGGCTTAAGTAGAGGCAAAAAGAAGTAATAGAACTAAGAATATAAAAAACACATACATAGTTTATTTATAATAAGAGAAAAGACAACTTAAGTATTAAATAAAAAATCCAAAAAGGGGAACGTCCAACTAGAGACTCTCATACGCGGGCAACACAAGTCGTTCTTATCTCCACAGTACTTTAAAGGCACTACCAAAGGCCTTAACACGGTTATTTGCGGTTTTACGCCTTGCAACAGGCACTCGGCCCTCAACCAGAAGGGGAAGGCCTATTTAAGCGATTGTCATAGACAATCAGAGGTTCTCAGTAGTATAAACATTGATTTAAACACGGTAATTGACGTCGGGACGACGCCAGAAGTGGTAGTTATGCCTGGGATTCGAACAATCGATCAGTTTGGCTGACACATGGTCGCCTCCTGAAAGAGTTGCCAACTGCGCCCCGAGTCTCGCCGGACGTTCCCAGCAAGGATTGTTAGATGTTTGGCTTATATAGGTAACGAGTCTTACAACTATTCCACAAGCAGAACAGCCAAACTTCAATACTTCCATTTCAATATCACATTACATTAAGGAAAGAATATTCATTCATTCATTTATTCATGCGAACAGACTGGAATACGATCAATTGCTATTTGTTAAGAATTACCAACCCACAACTCCCCGAAACGCCGAAACTCTTTCCATCAACCTCGTCCTGGTTCCTGTTGAGGCCAGTGTGCATTCACTGCGCAATGATAAAGCTGGCGATTACATGACTGCCCAACACTCCACAAGCCATTTACGGACCCCAACAGTACCAGGAACGGGATGACTTTGAGCTCTTGTCTGAATTTCCCCATGAAGCCCACTGTGTCTAAGTTCCCACCCGACATGCAATTTTGTAATTTGTCGTACAGCAAAATTGTCGCCTCGGTCGATAGAATGGAAGCTGGTATCGAGGCTACGGTTAATTGATCAAAGTCCGAGACAGAGCAACATAAGAAACTTATGCAAAGGCTTTGCCTCAGGCGGTGCGTAGTAGAATAGAAGACATTTCGTTGCCACCTAAGCAGAAATGGGGGTATAAAACGCCGAGTCGTCTACATGAATGATTACGCATCACATTTGTGAAAGTATCATCATGTCTCGTCGATAAACATAACGACGGTCAAGTCTCGAGCCGTGAGACGTCGATGGAAGTCGCAACGCAAAAACGAAAAAAGAAAAGGACCCGAGAAAGAAGCAGTAAAGGTTTAGATCTGGCCCTTGATATCAACCTTTTGGAACGCCGTACTGCGCGCGCCCTCGAAAAGGGGGCCAGCTTTCCCGGTCAGAAACGCGATGTAGTCTGTTCGATCTTCCAACAAATGTCGGCCTTGGTGATCGATGATGAACTGGGCTGCATCAGCATCAGACTCGAAACCGAGTTCCTCAGTGATGAAACGAAGTTTCACATCCGGCTTGTATCTGTATAACAGTTAGCAAATCATGTTCAAGAAAAATAACGGGGATGAATGAAACTTACGCTTTGCAAATATTGCACAACGCAGCAAGCCGTTCTCGAACAACAAACATGTCCATCAAGTATGCACCCATGTTAGGGGTGTCAAGGTAAAGCTGGAAGAACT